CTACAAGATTTTTCAAAGTGATCGAGGGCCATAACTCTGGCAGTAATTATCGGAAATCGCTGAAAATCAATAGGCTTCTTCGTCTCATGACCTTAAACAATGTGTATAAATTTAAAGTCAATCGGATATAAACTTTGGCCTCTAGAGCATCCACAAGATTTTTGAAGTGATCAAGGGCCATAACTCTGGCAGTAATTAACGTAAATCGCTGAAAATCAATAGTCTTCTTTGTCTCATGGCCTTAAGCACTGTATAAAAATTAAAAGTCAATCGGATAACAACTTTAGCCTCTAGAGCGTCCACAAGCAATTGTGGACGCCGGAAGGACGGACGGACCGACCCCAGATGGACGGACAGGGGCGACAACAATATACGACCACATTTCCATGTGAGCGTATAAAAATGAATAAAACTAAAACACTATTTAAAACTAAATTCAGCAATGCTTGTTTATTGACCTAAATCCAACCGATGCAAGTCATATTTTATCGGGAATTGGAAAGCATTATTAATATCTGTTTCTCTGGATATCCAGTGTTCTATCAGGAATTATTCAATGACTATAAATTTAACAATGGGTCAATGAAACCATTAAATGTATGATCCAATTATTATTTTAATATTTACCTGGAATTCGTACGGACGGAGCGTCAAAAACAGGGCGCAAATACTGTGATTCACAATCCATGCCGAGCAAGATGTCTTCATTACATTACAAAGGAAACTCACTGGACCTGTTATGAATAACCAGCAAGCTTGGGTTTGTTTTTTGTTTTTTACCAAATTATCAAAATTACCATTAAATATGCTAATTACTTGGATTATGAACCAGATGGCTGATTCTCACTAAGGTATGACTGTTATTGTTGCCGACAAGCAAGTTGATTGTCGATATTGACAGTATTTTTCATTACCGGTACATTCCCAGTATATTTTTCCTGATTGTTTTCTTTGAGGGGAGTCAATTTAGACATTGAGGCGAGCTATAAAAAGCGCACCTCGACTGACATCCAGGCGCGTCCAGGAGAGCAAGAGCGATCCCTCTCCTTTTTCTGGAAGGCCTGTATATAGAGCCTCGCCTTTTGAGTTTAACTGGACAAATCGCTCATACTTATCTACTCTACATGTATTACTCTTCATTCATTGTCAATTTCAGAATTAAATACATGTACTACACCAAATACAAATTAAATAGCACCATTATTATCAAGCTCCTTGTAAAAACTGGTTATTACATGTATGAAGTTATATTACATGGCAAGCTTATTCTGAACTTTTAAAAAAATATCATGAATCATCAGTAAATTGTTGCAATAAGCTTACATGTACATACAGTACAGCACAGTTTTACTTTTAGTTCTGGAAATGGTGATTCATACAAACATTCTTCACAAATTAAACATGCATTATGCAAGAGCTAAATCTGATTATTGCAAGTCTTAATTTAGGCTTCAGATGTTATAGAAATTATAAATTAGATCTTTATTTAAACAACAAGACCAAAATCAACTCTGTAGACCCACGGATGGCTCGGCTACAGCTCGGATTTAAATAGGATTTCACTAAATGATTAAATCAGATAAGGGGTAACCTGATGAAAATACGTCTGTTAGATCGAGGCTAAATGATAGAGTGTACTTAGCGAGGCCGATGTAAAGCGTTTCCGTATGCCATTGAAAACTTTACTTGATAATCGAGATATGTAGGTGGAGTTAACGCCTGTCAATCAAACGATCAGCGAAGGTGAAGACACAATTCGCTACCATTTCTAGGCAAATATTACAACGATGATAACTATGTTCAGAATAAAGTAATTTGACTGAATTTTTCAATATATTCTTCTTTCATCATCTACTTTTGAACTGTTATAGCAAGAATGGCCAACTCTCTATAAAAATCTCCCATAATGTATCTTTAATGAACTACAATTAATTATCAAAATGGTACATGTATATGTAAGTATAAGCTTATTATCATAAATACCAAATGCACTATTAGTATTACTACATTATAATAAGATAATCTATACAAATATAAAATATACAGAAATGCTAAATGGTTGAGTATGAGATCTTGACAGAAATTATGAATGACATTTAGCATAAATGAATGAAGTATATGTTTAAAGGAGGCATGATATACGTGTATTAAATGGGTTAATTGGAATCCTGTGTTAAAGTCTCTTAGAAACCATTATCCTAAATAATACAAATTTTTAGTTTCCTTACATGTATGTGTATATGTCTCCTTATGTATATATGCATTATGCAAGTCCACAAATTTGATACTATCCCAAAGTGCTTCAACAGCCATGTCCACCATTATATAGTGATAAGCATTCATTTATCGCAAGCCATTGCCACTCATATCGTAGATTGTGGATGGCTTCATTTTGCCTGACAAAAATATCCCTCTAAACACAATTTGAAGGACTGCCGAGACTGCAGCCACATAGTTCTGTGTCAGTGACAACTTTTGTGTAGGACAATAAATGTACACTGTACATAACTAAACCAGCTTTAAATGTGTTTTATATGTTTGTGATTTTTTTTTACTATTTTGATTAAATACATGTACCGGTAGGTACATGTGGGAGTACATTATTATTGCTTTATGGATTCTACTAATGATTTAAGTATCCCTGTCCCTGATTTCACAATCTTGTTTGTTATTCAAAGTTAAAGGTACATTTACATTGTAGTTTTGGAATCAAATTTGATTTAGATTTGTGTTTGACAGTTATGAAATTCATAAGCATTTCAATTTTTATGTACACTAATGTTAATACTAATAGTATTAGTAATGCACAAACCATCCCCTGTATCATCCCAGTTGAATCATTCCTTTCTAATTCACTAACCCCTGGGTCCATTCACGGGAGAGACACGGTCAAATTATCAACCCTTGACAATTGTGCTACATCTATTTTCATCGACCAATCAAAAGATAGGTTGCCAGGCAACAAAACATATGCTTACAGCAGCTAACAGCAGTCAACAAGAGTTGTCACATATTTTCACTTTTGTGGGTAATGAAACATGTATAATACACTAAAATCTGATTTATAGCGGTAAGAGAAACAACTCGGTAAGTAATTATCAGAAAATCATTAGAATTTGTTTGGCCCATGCTAACATTTAGTATACAAAACATTTAATATCATGGATTTAGCTGTTCAAGTAATCAAAAATCATTGAAAATTAATATATTTTTTCGTCTCAAGACCTTAAACTCTGTGTACCAATCTAAAGTCAATCGAAGTGATTATATATAGGTGTAAACATGGTGTATAAATATAAAATCAATCAGATGATAACTATGGTATCTAAAGCATCCACAAGATTTTTCAGAGTGATCAAGGACCATAACTCTGGCAGTAATTATCAGAAATCGTTGTAAATAGGCTTCTTCATCTCATGACCTTAAACACTGTGTATAAATTTAAAAGTCATTCTGATATTAAATTGAGACTCTAGAGGGTCCACAATTGTCTGGACCGCAGGCAGGGTTGACGACAATATACGACCACATTTCAATGTGGGCGTATATAAAAATTTTATTCCAACAAAGATCGCCAAATTGTTGTTGCAAACTTTGTCAAATTATTTTAGAACATCGTTTTGTGTGCATGTCACTTAAATTACTTGCAAACCTTCTCATATTCATAATTGAGTGTTCAAGTTGCTGTATTGTGGTGAACGTAAACAATGACACTAAAACATAAACTGCTTTTTGATAAGTTCGTAGAATCAACCTACCTGGCCAATGAAATCATCAAGGGCAGATAATTTGAATTCATGGAAACCCTGCGAATGCACATAGGGGTTAGTGGAGTAAAACGGACCAATACCACTGGGCATACCGATGATGTGCACAAACCAACATGCACCTTCTTGAAGTGATAATATATGTAAATTTATCTTGTCAACAATACATGTACATACAGCACAGAAATGAGGCATATCCGGTATGAAATACATACATCGGGCGATGGACAAAAATTACTTAATTGTAACGCACCCCCTCTTTTGAGACTGTGAAAAATGCATTAAGTACTAATGCTAAGAAATTTACATCAAATAACTTCAGCGTCCATGCAAATGACAGGGCAAAATTTCACCAACTACATATAATGAATTAAAAAATGAAAAACACCCAGGAATACATGTACCGTAACTATGTACATGTACTGACTGCATAATGTTGGCATATGAATGATACAGTACATGTATGTTTATCTGTTAGGTCCGTGCATCAATCAAACAAAATAATTTGGATAAAGTAGAATTTTATTTATTATTCAACAATGCAGCCATGAGGTCAAATACTGTACTATAGTCAGTGATTCCATGTTACTGACCTTGGCGATCCAGCTTAATTACGATCATCATGGTACAATTATTTTATAATTATTAATACAATTTCAATTTTCAGACATTAGTTTCCATGTATCTGTATCAATATTCAAAATTAACAGGTTCTAAAATATACCTCTATTACTACTTATTCATTAATATTATTGTTTTAGTTTTATAGAGAATCTGACTAAGTTTTATAGATAATATTGTCACGGCTGGCCTGTTGTACTTTACATAATACGAAAAACACCCACCCTGTGACCCTACACTAGAGGTTTCTCTACATTGGCATATATAAATATATATGCACAGTCATACAATTTTAGTAACAAGTAAAGTCAATGACTGATGTACAATGTACAAATACTGTCTACAATATATATTTATTCTAGTACCAGCTAACTCAAACTGGTCCCAATTTGCATGCATAAAATATCAAGTGGGAGCATTAAATTAAAATGTCATTGTCACTTACCTGAATTAATGATGAATTCAGCTGTAATACTCCTGATATACATTTATATTACATGTATGTAACACAAACTATTATTGTTTCTATATACCACAGTATGATATAAACACATTAAGTAAAATGTTGAATTTTGAATAGATCTATTCTATACATAAAAACTAAAAGGATACATCCGAAGTGACCCAGATTTGGTACCAATAGCCAAAATATGCTGCACTGGATCAAAAGCTACAGCAGTTGGATGAAATGGGAATCCATATCGAACGGTCTGAAATGACAATAATAATGATTATAAAAATATATGCGCAAGAACAAGTGTAAACAGATGACAAATAACGGTAGTTATCTTCGGTTTTGACATTCCTACCTTGCAAATCTGGAAATGTTGCGACTGAAGCGATTCCTCTATCTCCGTCTCAGACTTCGGAGCTGTGCTAACCGACGACCGTAGACCATCAAGGACCCCCTTGAGGGTAAATCTTTTCATTTTTCTGTTAACTGGCGAAGCCATCGGGATAATGTTTGTCGAATTGACCCATGTTGTTGTTTACTTTCTCTTGTAACGAAACATTTTGCTTGGAAAAACTGTCATTACGCTCAGCAATCTGGGAAATGTTGAAATGCCCGGATTACAATCCCAGCAGCCTTTGGCTAATGATGGTGAATATTATTTTGCCGGGGTCGAGTGCTGAATTATTTCACGTACATATTGACCGGTTTTGGTTCTTCTAGCAAGCAATAAGCCAAAAGTAATAAATTTAACCAAAGATACTCAAATAAATCTAGTAAATGGACATTGATAATATCACGCATGGATAAATATTGAATTATAATAAGTTCTTAATTATGCCCAGTCGAGGCGCGCGTTAATCAATTAATCCTTTCGCGGTTATCCCTAGCAATATGTTTTTCGCAGACAATTTGTTCAGATTCTTGTGATATTATTTCACCCATTTTTTTAAATTTTTTTTTAGATTTCATATTTCAAATAATGTATTGGGTTTTCTTTTTCCTTTTCTTTTTTTTTTTACACAGAATAGCTCATAGATGATAAATATTGATTTTCGCGTTATATTTGGCGAGGGCTAGAGAGTAGGCTAGGCCTAGGCCTATTCGACTCGCGCAGGCTGATTTGGAGGTTTTTTGGGGGTTTTTTTGTATTTATTTATTTATTCTTGGGTGGGTGGGATTGGAGGGTGTGTCTGTGAAGTATTGGTGTCTTCAAGTTTTTAATTTAAGGGTTTTTGGGGTTTTTTTTTTTTATATAAATTATTATTTTACTCTGTTCATTGCTGTAAAATGGGCATGTCGCAATTATATATAATAATATCTTGTTCACTGGATCAATTTTAAGAAACTATTATTTATTCGATTATCTCAAAGGTAAGCCAATACTAAATATCCCCGGTCGTAAAGGTTATGTTGACCTAAAACATAAATAACTTGCCACATTTGCAGTAGTATTGAGTCCAATACGTAAATAATGCATGCACCTTTTGGTTTAGTGGTATATATTTTAAAAGGAAAAGGGATTAATTCAAAATCGAAAATTATTTATTTAACAAACCAAATTAGCTACATTTCTATCTTCTTCATTTACGGGGAGAAAATTTAAAATTATTTTTATGGCACTGAACTATAATTTCAAACCATCGTTATAACAAATTTTCCGATTTGAAGGGATTTGGCTACTATTCAAACAGTAATATTGTGTATTAAAATAGATATGAAATGGAATGGTGTTGAACATCTCACTTTTCCTCGTCTAATAACTGGTAGTGTGCTATGGTAAATTTTGCTAGGACAGCGGTGGTACGGCCTACTCTTGTTTGGATTTCCAACTGCCAAGTGTCACGAGACCTCGGTTTTACTTCCCATCGGCACGACTAGACATTGTTCCTTGCCCCACTTACAAGGGGAATCCACACGGGAAAAACCCGGGGAACGTTGTCGAACCCATGGTCCTGAAAACCGCGTTTGTAATAATGGACATTGTTTGAGACAACACTGATGTTATTGTATATAGGGGGGGGGGGGCATCAACTCTTCTACAGTAAAATTTTGCCTAGAATACGATGCCGAGTGGGGCGTTTTCGAGATATTAGGTGTCAAAGGTCAAATGAGGTCATTTGCACTGAAAGTGAATGCGCAGCCATTCTTGTGTCATGAAAATATGCTGAAAACGATCGAAAGTAATCACTCTTTCAATAAAAAAAAAAAGTCAAAAGGTCAAATTTCCCGTTTTTGCACTAGAAAGATTTAAAGCAATAAAATGTCAGCGTAAAATGTGAAAACTAACGCGAAACCTGTTCTAATTAATATAGTAGGAAAATTTAAAACTCATAATTAGGTGGTCTTAGCACCCTACATTTACTTTGGAACGTCGAAAAAGATCTTGCATAACAGCTCCAAAACACTTCGAAATCTGTTTCAAAAATACGTAAAAACTGTCAAATCGAAATCTCCCCGATTTAGTTTAACAACGATTGTTATACATAATGAAACTAGTTGTCCGAAAAACAATTGAATAGTTTTATGGATGGACTCCTGGGTCACAAAGAACTAAGGTGAATTTAGCAAGTTTACATTTTTATTGAAAGGATGATTACTTTCGATCATTTTCATCTTGTTTTCATGATACAAGAATGACTGCACATTCACTTTCAGTGCAAATGAACTCATTTGACCTTTAACCCCGAATATCTCGAAAACCCCAACGACGGACTGATTACCACTTGGCATCATGTTCTACGCAAAATTTTACTATAGAGAAGTTGTGTGGGCTTTTGTGCCCATTTGATTCCCCCCCCCCCCCGGCATTGAGCCTCCAGACTAATATGCTTGTTCTTCAACCCCTTTCAATTTCTGAATAAAATATTGTTTTTAAAAAAAAGATTAATTTAGTGTTGGCTATTGTATATTTTTCAAGAAGCCGCATCCTTGAATCAGAAGGACAATTAACCTCCAATGCAAGAAAGAAAAAAACAACTCAAACACCCCAATAGGCCTACGTTATTAGCAACAGCCATTAACCATTGCAGATTCCGTCATAGGGTTAGGGCACGTGATTGTTAACGAAATTGTCGGTTAGGTTTAGCCCTAACCCGTGACCTATGACGAAATCTGCAACGATTAACACACCACTGATAATCTAATATTTCGAAATGAGTTACATAAGATAACAAAGTACTAGAATAAATCGAACGCTATTTAATGAATAAAATAATCATCATCGGAATCAAACTAGAAGGAACGAATAGGGTGGTGGTCACTGCGCTTTCACCTTCCGGATTTGAGAACCAGTTCTTTCCGGGCCTCAGATATGAATTTTACTAGGTGGTGCGATTTCTCTTTCGGACTCTTTTCTTTAATCGGATCCACGGTAAATCGGCGAGTATGCACTGTTTCACCAACCAGAATGTCTCGGATTCGAAACCGGTGCTGACCCGTAAAGAAAAAGGTCTAACCCTTCGGATGGTGCAAAAAAGACGTAAGAGTAAACCGTGTTTGATAATTTAATATACTTTGCAGAGGTATGTATATAGGTATTATTATATTCGATTAAAGGTCACATCAATACTTTGCAGACAATCTGGAAAAAAGCGATGCGGACATTAAATCATAGACTTTTAGTTGGTTTACCTTTAAAGCTTATAGATAAATTATAAAAAGTATATACAGAATACTGCAGCTAGACTTGTTACTTTAACTAAGAAATGTGTACACAGGGCTGTATTTAGCGGGGGTGGAGGGGGGTACATTGCACCCCCAGAAAAATAAGGCGCCCCGAGAAATTGCGTCCCCACCCCATCCAAAAAAACAAAAATTATTTGACAATCTTTCAATTATAAAATAATACATGCTCTTAAGGCACTGATCAGTCGATCGGTTTTAAGGGCGCCCACACGTTTGCCCCGATCAAAACTTTCTTATATCACATACGTGGATGTTATGGCGCCCCACCACTCTGCTGCACCTCCACTTTTAAAATCCTACATACGGCCCTGGTTGTACATCTCTATATTCTTTTAAAAAACAACTTAAAACACATTTATTTAACCAGGCTTTTAACTGACTCTGTATACAATCGTTAACATGTCCATAATCTTTTATTTATTTATGATTACATTGTCACTTTGTAAAGTGCCCCTGAACATGTTATATGAAAGGGCGCACTATAAATATGCTGTAATGATAATAATTATAATACTATGATGAAAGCAAATTATATTATTTATTATATCTCTAGTAAACTTTATAGATCATAATTTCAACGAATTGCGGGATATATAAACTGTGAATGCTATATATTCTTCTAAGATCCCACGAAGTTCCCAGGTCTCCTATGAACCACTAATCCTGAATAAGAGCTACCCCCGCCCCACTCATGTCCCTGTCTGTCTCGTCTCAGTTTTGCGGTGAATGTTTCTGGGGACTTTCCGGCGCGGTTTTCTGAGGGCCTGCAAGGACATAGTCTATAGTCGTTTGGATGGGAAGAAAAACTGAAGTGTCTTGTGCACATTGGCGTGCACGTAAAAGACACCTTGACAGTTGTAATTTGAAATAAGAGTGGGCCGTAGCGACTCTGTCCGGGCAACACCCCCCCCCCCCACACACACACACACACCGTAGTACTGTACGTAGTATGGTAAAATGAACACTGGCAGAATTTAAACATCTATATATATAGTAATTAGTGCATACGAATAAATTTAGCAACAAAGGCTAATGAAGTCTAAACGCCCCAATTCAAACTGTGACAGAAAGGTGTAGTCCTTAGGCATATCATTTCTTATAGAATTGTTTTTATTTACAACAAAATATTTTATTAAAATTCTAAATACGATCAAGGGGGTGCAACTCTGTTAACTGTCATTTACTCGTGATATTTATTTTCTTCTCATTCTAACATATAATTGATCAATGGAAGACCTGCCTTGACAGCAATATTTGTTACTTTTCAAAGAAACTTCGAATGTGGTTCAAAATCGAAGTGTGTACTATAGGCTACAAGTACCGTACCGTTTAAGCCGGTATACTATTATTATTAATGGACACGCCCACCTCCACGACCTGTCAACTTTTACCTTCGCTTTATAGGGGTCAAGGTAAAAGTATGGGTCGGCATACACGTCGTTTGTAGTGAACCGGTGAAAAGCTGGTATTCTAGTGTACTAAATTATTGATTAACTGAAAATTAGAATTGTAAGTACTGTTGTGAAATGGCACCCTTATTTATGCTGACTTTTATGGCGGTGTGTTACCCAAGTGAAGTAAGAATAGATTAGATGTTTTGAATAAATGTTTGGAAACAAGTTGGCTATACCGGTACCTGCTTTACTCTTAATTTTAGCTATTATGTAAAAATTAGATCTGCAATTTTTTTGTGTCATCGTGATAAAAGTCACGTAATTTAAAATCGTATCATTTGAAAATCGTATAGAAATAGTTAAGTATCAGTTATATTTATTAAGTTACCGATAACAACATTGTTTCTAAACTTCACTAAATTAAGCTTTTAATTTAAAAAAAGACAAGGTATTTGCAGCCTTAGTATAAATTTAGCTTCATGGCATGGTGATAATTACAGATGTAGTCAACTGATGGTAATTTGCATTTTACGAACAATATATCTAATTTTTAATGTTTTAGTTATAATATGTAGGCTATCAGTAGGACCTCATTGATTAAAGGAGCTAAATCGCTAATATTTGGGACCTACAAATTGACACAAATGGGTCGCAACGCATATAATAATATAATATGAATTCAATCGTTTCTGTTTTTACTCTAATTTCAAATCAGTTAAGTTCGGTGAAATACACCAGAAGTTTCAATCAAATGTTTATCTCTAGCATCTGGTTATTCCAGTCTACATAGTATTTATTGCGCATGCTCTTCACATAAGAATATATGGCGTCACTGTTTGACATGACTTGTGGAATATGTCTAGCCTCGTTCTTCAAGTCCCTTGTTACAAATGGGACTGAAACGCAATATGGTACAAGATTTGTGTTTGTGTACCAATGGTAAAATGTTTATTTTGTCTTAAATATTTGAAATCAAAAGCCCATCTTTTCCTGTTAAGATCACAATATCAATGTTGATTTAAATTGACCGATAATTCATGTTTTCTTTGGATGATATTGAGTTAGAGACTTTCCTACTTTAACACAAGGTACAATCTTATGGATACACAATTACTGAGTTTAATACTCTGCGGCACAAGAGTGTCCTCGCCAAAACACTGCATATTATTAGACTCAGTAATTGTTTATCCATAAAATTGTACCTTGTGATAATATGTTCAATTACTAAATGCCTATAAAAGTGTTACTCATTGAATGTTTAACATAAGAAAACCAAACAAAAATATCAGTAGATAACCTCCCAGCATGGATTAGTTAGAGGTTTATCGCACTATCTTGTTGATATCATCTTCAGACGCCGATTCTTATAAGCTCTAGAAAAGAATTCGGAAAGTAAAGTTTAATGTTAAGTCACTGTTAAATAACATTCTTGATAAATAACAAGGTTCAAAAATATATTGGTCTTTATTTCTGTTTATTGCAGAGAATACAAGAAAATGTCTAGTTCCATGAAAACATGTTTCCAAACATTTTATACACTGTCAGTTGTAAGATCCAAGATGGTGTTTCAAACATTTCAAAATAATAGGTAAGTCATTATTTGTCTTAACAGTAAAGCAGGGTAGCAGTGTTACAATCTCCAAGTATCAATTATAGTTTACAGATTCATGATCCACCCAATACCTTGATCAGACAAATCTAGTCCCTCACAGATGTCTTCTTGGTGTTGCCGTAGTAATTCCAAAGTTGGCAGAATTACTAAGGTTCTTGATGATCCAAACCTGACAGTATGAATAATTCTTGAAGTTGAATCGCTATAATCTAAAAAGGTAAATCCACAACAGTAATCCTAAACTTGAATTACAACAGAGAGATCAAGTCTCTCAAAACAGCACAATGTGAAACAGAGATAATTTCTTTCAATACAGCACAATAAGTGCAACAGCACGAAATGGCAATAAATTGAGAACAGACACCACTCACGGCAAACGTTGAGTTCGGTACGAAGAGCTGAGAAGGTTCTGTCCTCGGACTGGTCCGGTCTGGCTTATTATTCTCAAATTTTCAACGACTTTCCAGAACCTTCCAATTTTTTGTAGAACCCTCCAGAACCTTCCAATTATTTCTAAACACAATTTTTATCTGATTTTAGTTAAACTTGAAATATATGTTTATAACTCAAGGATCTCGGTTCCTTTCGATGTTAGTGCATATCGGACCATAACTTTCTGGATTATGGCCCTGGATTCTACAAAAAATCCCATTATTTTTTTTAGCTCGTTCTCTGTCCATCTCTTGAAAAATGTGGGCGTATCTTGCATGGCAACCGTTTGTTAATTTAATTCATTGCTTAACCTAACGAAAGGTTTTGGAATGCGGAATACGTATAGGGTTGTAATTATCCTCTCATGACCCCAGGGCTTAGCACGAGTTTTGAAACAAATATATTAAAGATTGTAGCCTCTATCATGTTCACAAGGTTTTCAGAAAAGGGGGCATAAGTCTGGAAGGAAAGGTTGTGGAACATTGAATATCGATACATTTGGTTCATCCACTCATAACTCTAATGCTGCACACCAGATTTGAAAAAAGTCCATTAAAAACTAGCATTTATTGCGTTCACAAGTCTTTTAGAAAAGGAGCATAACCCTGGTGTGAAAGGTCGCAAAACGCTGAATATATATCTAGTAAAATTATTAAGAAAATCTTTAAATTCAAAGGCAAAATTAAAGAATCATATTGCTCTCTTTATTGAAGTACTTATAGTTATTTATGATGATTCTAATTTCATATGCTACAAGATCATTGTTATTTCAGGTACAAGGTTTTAGGTGTTTTAATCAGTGGTGGGGTTTATTCTTATGTCACAGATAAAAAGGTAAGAGGAAAATGTCTGATATTATGTCACATCCTTATGCCGGTATCTTTGTGTTTCTGGACATAGAAATGAAATGAAATGGGGTTTTACGTCCTACTGTTCTGCTCCGGACCACCAAGCGCTATGAGGGGAATTTTGCCCAGACAGCGGCACTATGGTCTACTCTTATATCGAATTCCAACTGCCAATGTGTTCACGGGACCTCATTTTTTGTCCCATCCGAACGACTATATGTTGTCCCTTGCCAGGCCCTCTTGTTCTGTACTACTGACAACGGGGAACCACACCAGAAAATCTGGATAAACTGTCTCGGTCCAATGGGCAGAGAGAGTTCACAAAGGGCCTTTCTGCTAGAAATACTATATCTCCAATGTTTATAAATTCTGCATGCTTAGTTTTTATACGCTCTCATTTTCTTGTGGATATATATTGTCGTCGCCCCTGTCTGTCCATCCGTCCGTCCACAATTTGTTTGTCGACTCTCTACAGGTCACAATTTTTATCCGATTTTGACAAAACATAAAATATAGGTCTATCTCCCAAACATCTCGTTTCCTTTTGATATTGGCATATATCGGACGATAACTTCATGGATTATGGCCCCTGATTGTTCGAAAAATGATGTTTTTAGCTTGTGACACTCTAGAGTTCACAATTTTCATCTGATTTTGATGAAACTTGACATGCATGTTTATAACCCAAAGATCTTGGTTCCTTTCGATATTTGCACATATCGGATCGTAACTTCCTGAATTATGGCCCCTGATTGTACGAAAAATCGTGTTGTTAGCTTGTGGTCCCGCTAGAGGTCACAATTATTATCTGATTTTAAAAAAAGTTTGTAAATATCACCATTAGACTGTAATGATGCTTGAGTTTGAATTTTGTGAAAATCAGACTAAAACTGCTTGACAAAATGGCCTTCCATCACATGCAAATAGTGTAAAAATATGGTATATCAAGGTTGCGGATCCTCTAGAGGTCATAATTTTGATTCGATTTTGATGAAACTTGAAATATATGTTTATAGCCCAAAGATCTTGGTTCCTTTCAAAATTCGCGCATATCGTATCGGACCATAAATTCATGGATTATGGCCCGGTTGTTTGAAAAATCACGGTTTTAGCTTGTGGACACTCTAGAGATCACAAATTCATATCCAACAGTTTTCGGTTCCTTTCGATATTCGCACATATCAGACTGTAACTTTCTGCATTATACCCCCTGATTGTATGAAAAATGGACCCATTAGAGGTAACAATTTTTATCTGATTGCAACAAGCGTTTAAATATATCACTGTTAAACCATAATGACAGTTGAGATCAAATTTCGTGAAAATCGGACCGAAACTTCCCATCAAAATGTTCGCTCCCTGTACACAAATAGTGTTAAAGCAGGTTATACCAAGGTTGTGGATCTTCTAGAGGTCACAATGTTGATCCGATTTTGATGTTTATATCCCAAAGATCTTGGTTCCTTTTGATATTGGCGCATATCAGACAGTAACTTCCTGGATTATGGCCATTTATTGTACAAAAAATAACAGTTTTAGCATGTGGTCCATCTAGAGGTCACAATTTTTAGCGAATTTTGATGAAACTCAAAATACATGTATATGTGACAGTCAGTGTCTACAATCAAGCAATGTGTACAATGCCTGAAATATACCAGTCGATGTGTACATTGCCGGGTTAGATTAGGGTAAGGGTTGGGGTGGGGGTTAGGGTTAGGGTTACAAAGGCATTGAACACATTGCCTGATTGTAGACATTGACTGTAACATATATATCCCAAAGATCTCATTTCCTATTGATATTGACGGATGTTGGACTGTAACTCCCTGAATTATGGCCCTTGATTGTACCAAAAATTCACGTTTTTAGCTTGTGGTCACTCTAGAGGTAACAATTTTTTTCCGATTTAAAAGAAAACGTTTGAATATAACACCTTTACACCCTAATGATGGCTGAGTTCGAATTTCGTGAAAATTGGACCAAAATTGCCAGATAAAATGGCCGCCCCTTGTATGCAAATAGTGTAAATATATCGTATATCGAGGTTGTGGACCCTCTAGAGGCCACAATTTTGATGAAACTTGAAATACATATTTAATACCCAAAGATATTGGTTCCTTTCAATATTCACGCATATCGAATCATAACTTCCTGAATTATGGCCCTTGATTGTACGAAAAATCGTGTTTTTAGCTTGTGGTCCCTCTAGAGGTCACAATTTTTATCCGATTGAAAAAAAAAAAATGTTTGAATATATCACCGTTACACCCTTATGACGGCTGAATTCGAATTTGGTGAAAATCAGACCAAAACTGATGGACAAAATGGCCGCCCCTCGTACGTAAATAGTGTAAATATATGGTATCAAGGTGGTAGATGCTCAAGAAGTCACGATGTTGAGCCGATTTTGATGAAACTTGAAATATATCTTTATAACCCAAAGATCTTGGTTTCTGTCGATATTCGCGCATATCAGATTGTAACTTCCTGAATTACGGCCCTTGATTTTACGAAAAATCGCTTTTTGTTTAGCTTGTTCTCTATCCATCTCTTGCAAAATGTGGGCGTACCCTGCCTGGCAGCTGCTGGTTAATCATTTCAATAAAATGGAAAAGGGTTTAATGGTCATTTTGAAATGAAATTGTGTTTTTGTTATTTCTCTGTTTATGTGTGTGCTGTCTGTTGTAGGAGACTTTTGCCTGAATGCCAGTGTTTCTGCATATTTTTCCTAAATTTCAAACTCTCAATTGTTCTTTTATGTGCATGCAAGTGTGTACATGGCTGGATCTCTGAACAATTGGGCACTTTTTTGTTGTGAAGATTAGGCTTGAAAATTCCTGAAGGTTCTTCTCAGCCCATGCCAGGTTTTGAACTCGGGCATTCTAGTTGTGTTTAATTTGAACCTGGGACATCCTAGTCGAGTTTGATATGAACCCAGGACATCCTAGTCGAGTGTTTGATTTGAACCCTGGTCATTCTAGTCGAGTTTGATTTGAACCCAGGAACATCCTAGTCGAGTTTGATTTCAACCCTGGACATCCTAGTCGAGTTTGATTTGAACCTGGGACATATATCCTAGTCAAATCTGATTTGAACCCTGGACAATCTGTTCGAGTTTGATTTGAATCTGTGGGACATCCTAGTCGAGTTTAATTTGAACCCGGACATCCCAGTTGAGTTTGATTTGAATCTGTGGAACGTCCTAGTCGAGTTTGATTTGAATCCTAGACATCCTAGTCGAGTTGTATTTGAATCTGGGACATCCTAGTCAAATCTGATTTGAACCCTGGACATTTTAGCCGAGTTTGATTTGAATCTGTGGGACATCCTAGTCGAGTTTGATTTGAACCCGGACATCCTGGTCGAGTTTGATTTGAATCTGTGGAACATCCTAGTCGAGTTTGATTTGAATCTGTGGGACATCCTAGTCGAATTTGATTTGAACCCTGGACATCCTTGTCGAGTTTGATTTGAATCTGTGGGACATCCTAGTCAAGTTTGATTTGAATCTCGGACATCCTAGTTCAGTTTGATTTGAACCCGCTACATTCTAGTTGAGTTTGTAATCACTATTAGAGTATTTGAAGAAAACAAACACTGTTCATTGGTTAAAATGTTTGATTTTATGAGAATTTTATAAGTTGTTTTAACTTGTTATACATATTGAATTTAAGGTTTATGCAAAGGGTCACAATTTAAAAGATCTTAGAGCAGGTTGGATGACTGATTCCATAACAGACATAAAAACATTAGATGAGGTAATTATATATATCTTTTTACTGAAAGCAATGATAGCAATGCTGAACATTGTTTCATAAATAAAGCATGTCCAGTCTTTGCGTGGGATAAAAACATAGAATACTATACACTGTAACCTGGGTATCATTTAATCTTGTGTATCTAGCACTAATTTCTTTTACATTCGTTTAAGATCAAATCTTTATTTAAAAATTTGTAAAAACCATTTAAAATCACCAAAATCATCTAATTTGTACTTGTGTCCAGTTTAAAGCTGACTGATTAATTCTGATAATGATGATACATATTCCAAGTACATAAACCCTTTGCTTCTTTAATAGAAATGGTTGAATCCCTGTTGGTCTATATTTGATATGGTTTAGTGTATTATTTGTAGAAATCTGATGATATGAGATACAGAATGGAAATGATGATATTAAGGATACAGGTAAAGGCTTTTTGAAATCTATCTCTGTATTCAATTCCAAAAATCCTGCATACAAATTCTGTTATTTTCTTCCCCTCAAAATCTACAAAACTGATCTTCAGTTCCAGAAGTTATTAGTGTAAAATTAAAATATAATTAAACCTAGAAAAAAAATAATTTTAGGGAGATGTTTGTCGTGCCTTGGAACATTTAGATGGAGAACAGAAGTTTTTAATTGACAGATGGGAAAGAAAGGAGGTGAGACAGAATATAATCTCTTCTTGTTTTTTTGTGGAGTTTTGCATGTGACTCTGATATTTTTCAGCTGGAGCAAAAAGATGAATACCAGTTTTTATACACCCACATTGCCGCCCCTGTCCGTACTTCCGTCTGTTGGTCGGTCCGTTGTCCACAATTTATCATCTGATTGTTTTAAAATTACTTCTAAAGTTATGGCCCTTGTTTCACTTTGTTAAACCTTGTGAACTCTCTAATACCAAAAGTTATCATACGATCTTTGTGAAAATATATGCATTATTTGAATTAGTGAAATGAAGAAGCCTAATGAATTTCAGCAATTTCCGTTTATTATGCCTAGAGTTATGGCCCTGTATGAAATTTATATGCATCAATTAAATTAGTAAAAAGAAGAATCCTATTGAATTTCAGTTTATTACGTCTAGAGTTATGTCCCTTGTTTCACTGTGTTGAACCTTGTGAACACTCTAACGCCAAACGTTATCATCCGAACTGTATGAAATTGATATGCATCATTTAGATTAGTGAAACCATGAAACCTATTGAATTTCAGCCATTTACAATAATTGCTTCTAGAGTTATTGCCCTTGTTTCACATTGTCAACCTTGTTAATGCTTGATATCATCTGATATGTATGAAATTTATATGCATCATTTAAATTTGTGAAATGGAGGTCTGTCAAATTTCAAAATGTTCGGTAAATTACCTCCAGAGTTCAGGCCTTTGTTTCAGTTTATAGAACCTTGGGAATCCTCAAACGACAAAAATTATAATCTGATCTGTATGAAACTGTCTTGTTAATGCACCCAATTACCTACAAAAGAATAAATATGCAACAACCCTTGTCGACACCTTGAACAATTTAGCTGCTGTGGGCGTATGTTTCGTTGGCTGGCAACCTATCTTTTTATAAGTTTGGAATGTTGCTGAAGATAAAAAATGAAAAGTAATTCTTTGACCTAAAAGTATGAAAGCAGTTGATTGAAATAATAATATATTCCTCTGTATAGGATGACCATACAGCTGGAATTCTTTAAGAAACAGTTGTGTTTGTGGTTGCACTGCTTCCAAGGCAAAAAGAAGAAAAAATGGTGGTTATTTTTAATGTATTTCTACGTCCGCCATATTCATAATGTGGACGTATATTGCTGTTAACCCTGTCTGTGTGTGTCTGTGGGTCGCCTGCAGGGTTCATTCTTAAAGGATTGTCTTGAAACTTTGCATACTTATTCCTTATACCCTAAGGATGATCCTTATTGTTTTTGGTGCATGCCGGACCCCCCCAGGGGCAGAGCCACACCCATTTTTCATTTTTTGTATCTGTTTGTCGTCCTACAGGGCGCTATTCTTAATGGATTGTCTTGAAACTTGCATACTTATACCTGAAGGGTCACCCTTATTGTTTTTGGTGTATGCCAAACCCTCAGGGGCAGAGCCACACCTATTTTCTCTTTGTGTGTCTGTGTGTCACCTACAGGCTGCAATTCTTAATGGATCATTTTTAAAACTTTTCATACTTATTTTTTATACCCAAAGGATGACCTCCATTATATTTTGGTGCATGCCCGACCCCCTGGGACAGAGCCATGCCCAATGTGTGTCGCCTACAGGCAGCAATTGTTTTTTCTGAATGCCTGATCCCCAGTGGCAGGGCCACACCCATTTTTTCTTTTTGTTTCCCTGTGTGTTGCCTACAGGCCACATTCTTAATGGATTGTCTTGGAACTTGGCATATGTATTCCTTATAGCCTAAGGATGGCAACTGATTTTGGTGCATGTCCTGACCTCCAGGGGAAGAGCCACGCCCAATTTTTGTGTTTATTGTATACAGGCCACAATTTTGAATGAATCATCTTCGAACTTGGCATATGTATTCCTTATAGCCTAAGGACGACAACTATTGATTATGGTGCATGCCCCGACCCCCGGGGGCAGAGCCACGCCTATTTTTAGCATCTAAAGGCCACAATTCTGAATGGATTATCTTGAAACTTGGTATACTTATTCCTTATACCTTAAGGATGGCAATTATTGATTTTGGTGCATGATCCGCCCTGCTTGGGTGGTGCCACACCAATTTTTTGTTAATATTTTGTCTGTAAATAATCTACTGGTTGCAATTATTAACAGATTGGGTTCAAATTCGGCATGATCCACCATGGGGTTGTACCTATTTATATCGTTCCATATCCAACCCTCAAGGGCAGAGCCACGTCCAATTTTTTTTTGTTTATCGTCTGCTGCCTGCAATCCTGAATGGATCATCTTGGAACTTCGCATATTTATTTCTTTTACCGTAAAGACAGCAATTATTTATTTTGGTACATAACCCGACTCCCAGGAATGTGGACGTATATTTCATCGGTAGCGATGTTTTTGTTGTTTTATACAGGGAGGTGGAGGTATAACATGTGTATTACAAGATGGTAAAGTATTTGAGAAAGCTGGTGTTAATATATCTGTAGTACATGGTAAATTACCACCCGGTGCTATACAACAAATGAAATCCAGGTAAGTAGGCCTACATGGGACATTTCACATTAAATAGTGGGTATTGTTTAGTAACAATTTTCTTACACTGTTTAATACCATTGATTATCCAAATCATTTAATTTATTACATTAAAGGGACTAAATCACTAATATTTGGGACCTAGAAAGTGATTCAAATGGATCGCAACACATTTAATAATGTAATATGAATGTATATAAACTGATTTACATTCAATCATTTCTGTTTTTACTGTAATTTATAATCACTTATGTTCGGTGAAATACGCCAGAAGTCTCGATTGTATGGCAATCTCTAGCGTCTGGTTATTCCAGTCTACACTTATAGTATTTATTGCACATGATTTGTGGAATATGTCTAGCCTCATTCTTCAAGTCCCTTGTTACAAATGGTGCTGAAATGCATTATGGTACACGATTGGATATTGGATATCAGAAGCCCATCTTTTTCCAGTAAGATAACAACATCAATGTTCATTTAAATTGACAAATAATTTGTGTTTTCAATGCTGAAGACTATGGATCATATTGAGTTAGAGACTTAGCTACTTTAATATTATGATGGGATGACCCATCATACATTTGTTATGAGCACATACTTATCAAATGTTATGATTATTAACATTTGTATTTCAGAGGTAAGAAAAATTTAGAAGGTAAAGATCTACCATTTTTTGCGGCCGGTGTTAGTTCAGTTATTCATCCAGTAAGTACTTAGTTTGTTTTATTTAAAATCATGTTTCGAAAACAGTAAACCTTGTCCAGTCTCATATTTACATGGTCTTCTAGAATTACACAATTCAGAAAAAAACATTATTTAATTATTATTGTTGCTATTGAATTTTCTTTTGTGATTACTTATTTTTTATAACTATTTTTCAGAGGAATCCTCATGTACCTACTCTGCATTTTAATTATCGTTATTTTGAAGTAGAATCTAGTGATGGCAGTAAACAGTGGTGGTTTGGGGGTGGTACTGATTTAACACCATATTATCTAGTCAAAGAGGTAAAACCTGCATTGCTAAAACCCCATTTAAACCTGACCCCGATAAAGCACATATTACCAGCCTACCCGGTCTGGTTCTGGCTGTGACAGAATTATAAAAATTGGAGCTATTTACACTATTGGTGCCAGAACCATTTGTAGCACAGTTATGTGTGGAATTCTTCACTATATACATTATTATTTAGACCACACTGACAAAGTGGTCAAGTTAATTTTCAAAGTTTTAGTACATTATTAAAATTTACCAACTGTCAAAATTTTGATGTCAAAACCATAGTGCATATGGCCTCAGTAAATTGGACTAGGCTTTGTTTCCATTTTGGGGGTTGGATGGCTGAATGGTTAGCGCGTGCTTGCTGTATCATAAGGTCAACTGATCTGGTTTTGATTCCCCGGTTGTACGTGACAAGGAGAAGGGTCACCTGTCCAATCTCTTGGGTTTTCTCTTGGTCCTTCGGTTTCCTCCCACTGCGAAGACCCCTACGTGCAAGCGAATTATTGAAATAAAATTGAACCATATGTTAGTCCCAAAATGACCTAGTTTGGTTTCCATTTACACTAGCAAAATTTCAACCAAATCGCAATTGTGACCACGTCATGTTGGTTTCATGTCTCGACGGGGTACTGTTCATTTTTTATAGTGTAAATGGGATTTCATAAGATGAAGAGTCATGCTACTTCAGTTTTGATTTTATAAACAAATGCTATCAGTAATGTGCCTAGCAATATAGAGCACTGCCCTGACAAAAATGAAAGTTTTAACAACATAATAATTCTATATATGGTGACATAATCTAATATATTCTTTGTTTAATAATACATATATTAGTACAATTGTTTAATTTTTTAGGATGTAAAACATTTTCATTCAACATTAAAATCAGCTTGTGATAAACATGGTAAAGATCTGTATACTAAATATAAGAAATGGTGCGATGATTATTTCTACATCAAACATAGAGGTAAACATGGGATTGAGCACTGAATTTAATACTGCAAACACATAAACTGTTGTACCATGAAATTTCAGATCATGACAACATGTGAGAATGGTGTCGTCATGATCACATAAACACCCCACAGATAAATTTTCTCAATACACTAAAAGAGAATTCCATAGAATGGTAATGTTAAAAATCATGATGCAGATATTGGTTATAAAATGTGGCTTTTCTAAAACCAGGGTCATTTAATCTTCTACTGGAAGCAGCATTGCAATGAGATTGGAGAAGGATCCTACAAGCAGCGATTTTGGCTTCTTTTTCTTCACTTACCATAATCAACCCATATTGTACAACTTAGAAAAAAAATCAGCCACTTGCTCAATGCTGTAACCCTTTTGTTGCAATGTGCCAGAAAATGTTGACATGAAGGGTAGAAGAGTTGTATGTTTGCATGCTTGATATGTTTCTTTCCAACATGCTGGAATCACATTAAAAGATTTGAAAAGTATAAAGTTGCTCGAGTTTGCAAGTAAAAAATAAACCTATAATGAATGTTATGTAAGTGTTATTTTTATGTCAGAAATTCGAAATTACCATAAAATTAACATGATTCGAACAAGACACTATTTTTATACCAAAAATGATCTTTATTATTTAAACAGGTGAAAGTCGAGGTGTAGGAGGAATATTTTTTGATGATGTTGAAGATCCAAGTCAAGAGGAAGCTTTCAGATTTGTCAGAGTATGTGTATTATTTATTAAGTGGTATTTGACTTTAAGTGACTAACTATATGTAAAACTCTTAGACATATTCATCAATTGAGAGATCTTTAATCCCTTGCAGACAAGATGAATTTCAGTCCATAAATGGTTCAGTTAGGTTTCGTATTCAAATAGCTATGATAACTTGAAAGTTTCTCAAATTCAGCATCCTTTGCAGACCAGATAATAAAAAACAGTGCCATCTATAAAATATTCTGATACGTCTCTTTTAAATCTAATGCCAGTGTACTAATGATAAATTTAAGATGTCTAATCATAATGCTTGTATATTTCAGTCATGTGCTGAATCCGTTTTACCATCCTATGCTCCTATTGTTAGAAAACATAAGAGTGATAAATATGGAAATGCAGAAAGGTAACAACAATGTTTGGATATCATATAAGATTAAAGAGGCATTATTCAACAGTTAAATCTGCCTATTGCAGGTCTTTTTTTAGGCCTTAAATGTTATATAAATTATTAATTACTGTCTGAACTGTGGTAAATTATAAACGGATTTCTTCGATTATGAACAAACTATTCTACTTTGGTTATTATAAACTTACCTGTGTGTTTTAAATTACCTCAGGTTATATAAAATCCATTGTACAACTAAATATGCCAGAGAATAAAAAAGTTCTCTCTTGTAAAATTGAACTCATCACAAACTTGACACCGAGAAATACCAAATGAGTTTGGGCGTACAAACATAAATACGCCCGTAGTCCGGTATTTTGTTTCTGCCTTGTATTAATTATTTGGTTAGAGAGTTCGTTGGGATTATTTCTTTTGAACTACATTTGTTTTACTTGCCTTGAATCTCACCCTTGAGTATTTTTAATATTTCCTGATGAACTTAAGCAGTCCTGTCAATTATCCTGCAGCAATCTGCTGTAGCCTCAGCAAAATTAATAGCCAAGGCCATTGAATCATTGAATAGGTATATAACGTTATTTTTTTTTATATAAATACCCAAAATTATTATCAACAAATCATACCGCACATCGGTTTAATTATCGGCAGATAGTTCCATGTCTTTCTATTTCTCTTTGCATATTATTTCTGGTGTGCAAAAACTGTTCAGAATTTTATAATCGTGCGTCTCGGTAAGGCAATTGATTTCCGAAATCCCAGCAATGGATCCATACGATTGTACTCCAGTTATTACCTAAATATTTTGAAATCCACGTAGAATGGAATTTTCCGATGGCATTTAGTAGATCACGATCATGCCTCAGACAATCAACGCTTTGAATTCTATTACCGCAAAAAGTACCATGTTTATTTCTAAATGTTAGTCACAAAGTTGCCTATAATTGACAGGGATGTAATATGTTTTATAAAAATATATATAATATACAGGGGTGAAATGCAATATTATATTTACGAGTATTCATATAATCGGTGATATATTCATTGTGAATAAAATTAAGTAGACTGTCAATCAATTGTTTCCAAATTGATGTCATTGGCTGTTTTGATTACAACACACATGATTATCAAAATTTTTCAACCTTTACCCCCTTCAAGCTATTACGATGGTTTAGCTCATCATGTGACATGTGTAATGTTGTGATGGACACTGTCGAAAATACAAGCCAAAAAATTGACTTTTCAAGAGAACTTTTTTTTTCGTTGGGATATTTAATTGTGTAATGGATTTTATTCAACCGGAGGTGATTTCAAACACATAGGCAAGTTTTTAATAACAATTATTCAGTAGTAGTTTACACAATCGAAGAAATCCGTTTATAATTTACCACGGTTCAGACAGTAGACATCAATTAACTTACCTAGACCATAATCAACTCTCAATGCCATCCATCAGATGGTTTCAATTTTAAGTAGATTAGAACAGTTAGGCCATTTAATGATTTAATTTAAAAATGGAGAAGTGAGGCTAAGACTCAAATAACCAGCACCGTGGTTATGATAATAAACTTTCAATCCACACATCTTATCAAAACTACAAACCGTGATTATTTCGCTCAGAATAATTTAATTAAGTAATTTGAATGAATTTTTCTATATATTAATTTTTCATTTTGCATTTTTGAACTATTATAGTAAGAACGGTCAGTAATTTATCTAAATCTTACATAAAGTATCTTTAAAGCATGAAGTTTCTTCATGGATGAAATAAATGAGAAATAGTTAAGAGATTACTCTTTTCGGAAACACCTGATAGAATTTAATTGAGATGTTTGCATGTCTAATAAACAATCAATAAAGTGGGGGTGGGGCAAAGGCTTTCACAATGACAGGAGCAAAAATTAAATGAGTAGGGACAATTACTGTTTAACAATATCTTTATTATTTCTTATTGACATAAAAGATGGAGATCTGAAATATACTGAATAACAATACAAGAATGTATATATATTCCTCTAAAAACAATAGACAAAGGCAAATTCAATTATGGGTTTATATTTCATGAAACAATTACTTATAACCTGCAGAATTCAAATACTTGATTATCAACTTGTAATAGTTTCATGACCTGTTCATGACCTAATTTTATATTGAACAGTGTTTATTTACACAGTAAATTTTTTTGTCTTTCGCACTATTAAAATGGGTTCGTCTGTCTGTCCGTGTAGTACTATAAGACTTCTTTTCTTGTTGTGTTTGTTTCTTCGTGATCGTAACAAGACTACAGCATCAATGGTTTTTACAACTTTATTGCTAAGCTGTAATGGCTTTGAAGGTTCCTCGTTCTCAATAATAATGGCTGCTAGGATTTCTCAATGAGTTCTGATCTATCTCGCTCTAATTTCTGCAGGTCTTTGATAGCCTTGACGTTAATTTCCATCCCAAACATGGAATAAACCTCTTTATTTCACAGGACTAAAGGAGGAGACATTACCTTATTTAACCATAGGTCAATTAACAGCCAGAATTTGATGGATATCTTGACTATGGTTATGATTTTACCAAAATATCACTGTTTTTTATGTATAACTATATATTTACGTTCATTAAGTATGTGTGATTTGACTCTATAGACAGAGTGAAGCAAAGAACCAAAATTGTCTTAAAAACCAAAGTGTTACATCCTTCCATCTGTCTGTCTGTCACACTTTTTGGGACACAATAACTCTCCTTCTAATTGAGCTAGAATGTTCAGACTTGGTGTAGGTGTTTATTAGGGGAATGCCTTAATGGAGTTCAAAGATGAGCATTTACTGCTTAGGGTAAGCAGAGATAAGCAATTTGATTTGTTGATGCTTTGGGACACAATAACTTTAGTTCTAATAAGTAGAGTGATGAAACTTGGTGTATATGTAGTTTCATTATATCAATACCTTTCCTAAGTTTGATAATGAGCATTTTCTGCTTAGGGTAAGTAGAGCGATAAGCAATTTGATTGGCTGAGACTTCGGAAAACAAAAACTCTCCTTCTAATTGAGCTATAAAGTTCAAAATTGGTGTAGATGTTTATTAGGTCCGTGCCTTGATGGAGTCGAAGATGAGCATTTTCTGCTTGGGGTAAGCAGAGATAAGCAATTTGATTGGTTGATACCTTGGGACACGAGATGAAATTTGGTGTATAGTTTTATTACATCAATACCTTGAATAAGTTCGATAATGAGCATTTTCTGCTCCGGGTAAGTGTATCGATAAGCAATTTGATTGGTAGAGACTTTGGAACACAATAACTCTCATTCTAATTGAGCTAGAATGTTCACACTTGGCATAGGTGTTTATTAGGTGAATGCCTTGATGGAGTTCGAAGATGAGAATTTTCTGCCTAGGGTAAGCAGAGATAAGCAATTTGATTGGTTGATACTTTGTTCTAATTAAGTGAGAGTGAGGACATTTGGTGCATAGTTTTATCACATCAATTTCTTGACTAAGTTTGATAGTGAGCATTTTCTGCTAAGGGTAAGCAGAGCGATAAGGAATTTGATTGGTCGATTCTTTGGAACAGAATAACTTTGGTTTTAATTAAGTGAGAGTGATGAAACTCCGGGTATAGATTCATTACATCATTACCTTGACTAAGTTCGATAATGAGAATTTTCTGCTTAGGCTAAGAAGCGATAAGCAATATGATTGGTCAAGACTTTGGAACATAACAACTCTGCTTTTAATTAAGGTAGAATGTTTAAATTTGATGTAGATGTTCATTAGGTGAATGTCTTGACTGAGTTCAGTGATTAACATTTCGAACTAGAGCTAAAGCTAAACAGGGCTAAGAAATTTCATTGGTCGATGCTTTGGGACAAGATAACTTTGATTCTATCTGATAGTGATGGAACTTAGTGTATAGTTCATAATCAGTTTGATTGCTTGATACTCTTGAAAAAAATAAATGTGCGATTAATTAATATGCTTCATCTATTTATTTTGGGATTTCGGCGGGGGACATCAGCCTCACTGTTGGCTTGTGTAAAATGTGTTTATGATATATTGTGTTTTATAGAGAATGGCAGTTGTTGCGTAGAGGAAGATATGTAGAATTTAATCTGATTTATGATAGAGGAACTAAATTTGGACTTTATACACCAGGAGCAAGATATGAAAGTATACTCATGTCACTTCCATTAACTGCTGTGAGTATTGTGGATTTTGATGCTGTCTGTAAAAAATTTCCCTTATAACACACTTCATCAAGCGCAGATCCAGGGAAATAGTCGGAAATGACATCTACAGTGTTTCATTTATTCTAATTTTCTGGTGATGGTGACCTATACCTCTCCATCATGAGGTTCACCTTCAGAGGTGGCAAATTGTCACTACAACACTTCTATATGGAGATCTGACATTACTTGACCCCTAACTGAAGATCCTGGATCTGCCCTTGTGCATGGATTATGCCTGTCTTCAGAATAGTATAATGTAGAACCCCATTTCATTATACACCCACATTTTCATGTGGACGTATATTGTCGTCGCCCCTGGACGTCTGCCTGTCCACAATTCTTATCCCATTTTGACGAAACTTGAAACATAGGTTTATCTCCAAAAGATCTCGGTTCCTTTCAATATTGGCATATATCGGATCAAAACTTCATGGATCATGGCCCCTGATTGTGCGAAAAATCATGTTTTTAGCTTGTGGACCCTCTAGAAGTCACAATTTTTATCAGATTTTGATGAAACTTAAAATATATCTTTATATCATAAATATCTCAGTCCATTGCAATATTCACGCATTTCAGACAATAACTTCCTGGATTATGGCCCCTGATTGTACGGAAAATCGCTTTTTTTTTTTTAGCTTGTTCTTTATCCATCTCTTGCAAAATGTGGGCGTATCTTGCCTGGCAGCCGCTGGTTGGTTGATGTAATTAAACAATATTTACACACTCTATTCATGTTCTGCCATCTACCTGACTCAATAGCTAAATTGTGATCACCACAACAAAATCTTGACAAGGCTATTCTATATTTACTTAAATAAATGTTTGACAAGTATTTCTCAGGTTCTAATAATGATTTGTACTGACAATAATTAACTAGTTTTGAATTGGATACTACTTTGCTTGAAATGGTCTATGAAAGCTATATTACTACCAACTGATTGCTGTTCCCAAACAAATCCAAATCCATATTGATATAATAAAGCTTGAACATTTGAAGCCCATGTTATTATTCTAGCATTACCTAACGAAACTAATAAATCATGAAATGTATCTTTCATCTACTTTTTATATATTTATCATCCATTTTTTTTATGTATTTTTCATCCACTTTATAATGTATTTAGCATGCTGACTGTAATGTATAATTTACATGCTGCCTGAAAAGGGTGTTTTATGTAATAAAATCTATCTATCTATCTATCTATCTATCTATCTATCTATCTATCTAACATGTTCTTGGATATCTGCTTTGTGGCATTTTTATTAGCTGTAACCAATATTTGATACAGTTTGTTTGGTATATAATACTAAGAGGTCTTCGACCAAGCTCACCATAATTGGGAGCCACGGTGGCTAGGTGGTTAAGACGCTGGCTCGCTAGCCTGGAGGTCGGGTGTTCGATCCCTGCATTGGCCGAGAAAGTTCATCCTGATTTTCCGACGTGGTTTCCCCTTGTCAGTGGTGCAGAACGGAGGGCTTTCTTCATTAGCCCAGTATAGGAGCAGAACAGTAGGACGTTAAACCCCATTTCATTTCATTTCATTTCACTTCACCATAAATGACAGCATTGGGAAGTACAAGAGTTTACTTGCAGAATATATTTACAGAAATTTAAATGCAATGTTTCTATTAATGGGATATTTTTGTATCCCCATACTTATGATCCATAACAAAGAATAGGTACTATTATTCTATCAAATAAAAACAATAAACTAGATATACTAATATTACACTTACTGATAAATATTTTTAACATGTTACAAGCTTTCCTTGCTTGTTGTACTAGGGTGTTTATAGCAAGCAACCAATAGAGTTTAGGTGTAAACATTATTCCTAAATATTTTTTATATAAGGATGCAGCTTTTAAAGGGGTATTCCCATACCGCCATGTCTAAATACAACCTTGGTTTTACTTAAGTTGACACTCCTTTCGTTAATTCTGTCTTTCAGAGATGGGAATATTGTCACAAGCCATCCGAAGGCTCGAAGGAAGATCAGCTTATGGAAGTACTAAAATCACCGAGAGACTGGGTTTGAGAGATAACTAACAGACTATATAGTGCTAGGACGATAATATCTCATTGGAAAGTATTAAACATATCCATTGACAGCTTCCAACAATATATATTTTTAAGAGCAACATTATTTTTTATTTTTCTTCAGAATATTTTAAACTTTTATATTGTTTTATATAGCCTACATAGTCAAAACTCAATTAAACTATTCAGGCTAATTAAAAGGGCAGTCCCAGTACACAATAATTATAAGTTGCTTTAAGTATATACAGCAAATGTCTAAATGTGACAGTAGAGTCTATTTTGCCTTATCTCAAAATTTCAAGTCTAGAAATGATTGCTACGTAACACATTTAAGGAATTTCATTCTTCAATTGTATGAGTGACTTGATAATAGTGAGGAACACTTACCATTATAACTTTGACAAGTGTAGACATGGCTATCTAGGCACTTAGACATAGTGGAATTTGGGAACTTATGGTGAACTCCACATGGAAATTGAAAGTTTGTATTTCTTAAAAACATATCGCCAATTTTCAGAAAGTTGCATATGACAAGGATAAAGATTTAACTGGGACTGCTAACTTAATGCCAGTATGAGACATTGTTGTACTATTTGTTATATTCAAGATTTATATGTTGTCTTGATGATATAGTATTGAAAATAAAACAGAACATTATTTTGCTTTAAAAGCTCAAATTTTTATTCAGTGAATATGGCTTTGTAATACTGGAATTGCTTCCCTTTGACCCATTAAATTGTTCAATATAAAAATCCTATACCCCTTTAACTTTTTGGTCTGAATCCACTCTGCATTTCTTTAAATTGACTAATGGATAAAACATTTAAAACTAATGTAATAACAATAAACAGTGTCTAGGCTACTCTAGAGAAGTCACTAAGCTCTAAACACAACATGTTTTTCGGGCTTCATCATTTGTTTCATCCACTAGTCGGTGGTGCAGGACAGATGGTCTGACAAGGATAGTAATTTGGATGGGACAAAAAACTGAGGTCCTGTGTGCACGTAAAAGAACCCTTGGCAGTTGGAATTCGATATAAGAGTAGGCTGTAGTGCTGCTGTCAGGGCAAAATTTCCCTCATAACACACTGTATTGCATATGTCCGTGTCTTCATTAGCTGAGTCAAGCAAAACAGGATAAAATCCATTTCATTTATTTAATGGGTGGTATTTCTAATGCAAATCTGATTTACTGGTTGATTGAAGTTCACATGGGCTATATTGGACCATTGTCAGGTTACTGTATTCATGGGCTGAAATAGGGTCTAATTTCCATAAACTTCCCCAAATCTGGACTTAAGATATGTGCCTCACAGGATGATATTCTGCCCCAAAGTCACATAAATAAGACTATATTGGACTGCTTTCTTGCTGTTTTACTCACAGGCCGCAATTGCAGAAAAACGTACGTGTTTGCGCCGTCGACTTCCACGAGATTAAAAAAAATATCCCATTAAAACACAGATCCTATTTCGTTTCTTTTTTTATTGTTCAAAATTTCGTTTTACTTGTCTTTACTACACTAGAATCTGGAAGAGTTGTTATATAACCCATGTTCTGGATGCTGTGAGGGATTAGCCAATGAAACGGTCTGTTACGCCAAGTTTTTGGCTTGAGGTATACAGAACTGTGGGTAATCCACTAGAAACAACGCTGATTGCATGGTTAATCAAATGTCTGACGTAAATGGTTCAAAAGCCGCTGGTATGAACTCTGATGTGACCTTCCACTACAACTTGTCAGATTTTTGTGTGGTAGAGCCATTGAAAATATAAAAAAAAAACGAAATATAGATCTGTATTTTAATTGGATTGATTAGAAAAAGAGACAATAGAAAAAAAATACTGGTGATTAAAGATACATTATGGGAGATTAGATAAAGAGCTGGCAGTTCTCACTATAATAGTTAAAAACAAGATAATGTAAAGGGAATTTGCTAAAATTTCAGTCAAATTGATCTGCTCTGAACCAAGATTTTAGCAATTGAATTTTCGTCATTACTAAAGTCGGTACGATAAAAAACATAGTCTCGATTATCTATTTCATGATTAAATTATGAATGGAAGTTGAACAGCAAATCGGAACCTAATCCAATAAACATCGCAGGATAGTGATGGCATCGAGAGTTCATTACGGTCTGGATAAGTTAATTAATGTCTAATTAATAATTTAGATAACATTTCAGACCTTAAAAAAAAGACCTTCAATAGGCAGATTTAGCTCTTGAATAATGTATGTTTAATTTAATTGACTGCTTACATTTTCATAAAAGTTGCTATTATAACACAAAATCTATCGTCAACTATGATTCTTTTTTAGTATTTTGGCTATAGTGACAATCGAAAGTGAAATTGAAAGTGGCTCTTATATTAAAATCATCATTTTCGGTTGAGATTCGGGTATACGCCAGATCCAAACTAAGTATTTGAGTATTTTAATTAGTGTATGCCGAAATTCATAACTTTTCTACCCTCACACCCGCGACCTCCCTGTGCATCAGTTCTTCCGATTCCTCAAAAATTGCCTTGCTGTGACCCCTCCGTTTAATTTTTTAAAAGAGATCAATTGATAAAGACTCGCAGGCAACTAGTCTGTGTACGTACGAGCACGGGGATATTATAGTGGGATTTAGCAGAACACTTCAAGAAATATTTCCATTATAAAGTAATAATAAAAAGACCTCATAATGAAACCCATATTTAACCCTATCTATTGTTCCGCCATTCCTTTGATGTATTAGAGTTAAAAGGACGTCTTTCTACTAATTTACGTAGCAAAGTTTCATATTTCAACCGGGGCGGGGGGGTGGGGGCGACCATAGCTCTAAAATACCTACTGTAATGTAAAGTCGCGTAAAAATGTCGTATTGTGGGGTTAAAATGTTGTGATGTCATGGTGTCGGGTTATCGGCCATATTCCTCTCAATACTATGATTATGTTCCCCAGGATTTTGCAGAAAAGTAGGAAAATTGAATGAAATGAAATTGTGTTTAACGTCTAACTGTTCTGCTCGGACTGGGCTAATGAAGACGGGCATACGCTATACAGTGTACTGTGAGTGAAACATTGCCTGGATAGTGGCGCTACAGCCTACTCTTATATTCAATTCCAACTGTCAGATGGTCTTTCACGTGCTCGCTAATATGTACATGGAACCTCGATTTTTCGTTCCATCCAAAAGACTATACGTTATCTATCCTCTGCCAGGCCCTCCGTCATGTACCACTGTAAAGAGGAATCACACCGGAAAATTTCCGATGAGCTTTCTCGGCCAACGCAGTGATCGAACACGAGAACTAAACGTTAGCAAGCCAACGTCTTACTCACTGAGTCCCTGTGACTACCAGAAAAGTAAGACATTAAACCCCATTTCCGGAGTGATTCCTCTTTGACACTGGTACAGGACGGGGGTCTGGCAAGGGATAACGTATAGTTGTTCAGATGGGACAAAAACCGAGGCCCTATTTACTCAATGGCGAGCACGTAAAAGACCCCATGACAGCTGGAATTCAATATAAGAGCAGGCCGTAGCGCCACTATCATAGTAGGCCTACACTGTATATGGCATGTCAGTCTTCATTAGACCAGTCGGAGCACAACAACATTTTGCCCGGACAGCGGCGCTCCGGCCTACTCTTATAAAAAAAATTCCAATTACCAAGGGATCTTTCACGTGCACGCCAATGTATACACAAGACCTCGGTTTTTTGTCTCATCCGAACGACTAGACAACTGTTCTTTTCAGGCCCTCCTTCCTGCACCCCTGACAAGGAGAAACCACGCCGGAAAATATTGATGAACTTTCTCGGCCAAGTGGTTGACTATCCAGTATCTTTGGCCAAGTCAAGTAAGAGTTGCACCCCTTCCCACAATAAATCCCATAATTCTTATATTAATATGCACAATCAATCATGAATCGTGACGACGAATTGGGATTAATTTTAAAAATATAGATATTATGGCCCATGAAGAGAGAAATTTTACAATAAAAAAAATTAAGAGTGTTGGATATTGAACTGGTATGAAATCAAATGGATTATTTGAAATGACATTCTTAAATAAATTTTATGGGCGTCATCATCTTGTTTTAGGACGAGTTATCTCACTTAGACGTTTTTTATGATAATGTAAAAGACCGGATAATCTAGCCAATGGGCTATTTTTCTCAAATGTTGACAACGCATCCAGACTAATATCCGTAGAATATTTTTCTGGATGATAGAGACTATTGTATCATACTTATCAGATTTGCAGGTGGCGTTAAAAATATTTGAGCCTTTTTGAAAATCTAATCTTACTTTTATTTTTTGAAAAGAGCCGTGGTGGCTGAGTGGTTTCCTCGTGTCCCTGGTGCAGATAAGAGGGCCTGACAAGGTATTATGTTCAGTCGTTCATATGGGACAAAATTGCGGTCCCGTGTAAAAATTGCCGTGCAACAAAAGGAACCCTTCGCAGTTTTAATTCAAAATACGAGTAGGCCGTCAATTTCTATTCGATTTTAAAAACCGTTTAAATATATCATCGTTACACCATAATGCATAATGATGGTTACGTTTGAATTTCGTAAAAATTGGATTGAAACTGCCCGACAGAATGGCCGCTCGCTCCTTGAACGCAAATAGTGTAAAAGTATGTAATACCAAGGTTGTAGACCCTCTAGAGGTCACAATTTTTATCTGATTTTGATATAACCCGAAGATCTAAGTTCCTGTAGATTCACGCATATCGGACCGTAACTTCCGGGATTATGCTCCCTGATTGTACCAAAAAAAATCGTTTCTTTTTTTGAGCTTGTTCAAATGTGGCCGTATCTTGCATGGTGACCGCTTTGTTTAAAATAAATTTCAAACTTTGAAATCGGGTATAGTGTTGATGGTAAACGATTAACTAAGCCATTTGGTGCTTATTCTGAAAGTTTTACAACAATCGGTCTGTAAACATAGGTTATATGCAATTTGATTTTTAAAAAAAAAAAAAATAAAAAAATAACACACAAAAAAAAAATCCCAGAAAGTTTTGCTTGCTGAAATTTTGCTATATAGGATATGGATTTTTTGACAGATTTTAATAATCCTATTTTTCTTTAAGGTTCTTGAAAAAAAAACAGGACAACAAAACATATTAAAGGCTCAATACCACTCTTGTTGTAACTGAATAATATGTCCCAATCTTTATTCTGGTCAACAAATTGTACTATTTTACAATATTCCAATTAATTGATGATACAAATTTCATCTTAACACACCTAATTAAAAAAATTAGAAAAATTCAACTAAATGATTTGAAAAGCCTGACGTAAAGCTTTTCAAATGTGACTTGGATTTAAAAATATTTTTGAACCCTCTGGACAAGTAAAATAGGATTTAATGGATAATTTACACAACAGGTAGGACACTAACACATATAGTACTTAGAATAAGGCTATTTTTTTTATTTTCTGGAGCTGTCAAGCCAGCCAGAGTGTTATTGTCCCTTTAATCTACTTGTATAAAAACTATCAAACCTGTATCGAGAACAGGTCTAGTTCGGTTTCTATTATTTTGTGATTTGAACGCGCTAAATAAGCGCCATCCAGGTATTATACTTATTAAATTTTGTTGAAATCCACCAAACGGTAGAAATTGGCCGAATAATTTACCCTTTATAAGGCTTTGCAAAACCTTTATGGGACCAATCAACTTCATTTTGAACACATCTAAATATTCAGGAAACATAGCTACCATATTTGGCTGAACTGAAATCCGACAAGGAGTCCGGTTGTTGCCACTCACACATAGTTGCACACACAATTGGGAAGCAATGTACATTTAAAACAAATGGACTATTTTAGATTTTGTAAACATGTTATTTATTATTTTAATACATCAAATTATCCATGAAATAAACAGTTTTTAAAGGTAACAATTGACAGAGGTACCGTTTTATTATCTTTGGTATGAATAAATAAGAACACCAAACAAAGTCCACTGGCTTGTATTAATTACTAATAAACAAGAGAAAAAATTAACATAACATATATTCGTTTATAGCACTTTAATTATTTTTATCTACAAATAGAGCTCTAATGATTATTTACAATTTTTTCCCGACGTATAACCAAATATTCCAAGTGGCTGTCTTAACGTCCCTATACAGACCCCTGCCACCATTTTAGTTGGACTCGCAACGCTTGTTTTCGACAAAATATCACGTTTTTAGTTGAAAAGATAAAGCAATGGCGGCACCATGCTTTTCCAGTATGTCCTGGACAACGAACACAATCATCAGAAATAATTGCATCTATCGATCGTGTAGCTTGGATATGGTTAGCTTCGAATGAATAGACATACATTAATTTTTGAATTTTTATAGTCCGCCACTGCAAAGCCCATTATAGAAACGAAAAGGAAGTAAGTTTTGAATATTAGTAATTCTACCTAATATCATATAACACTCAAGCAAATGCCATGCAAGATACGTCCACATTTTACAAGAGATGGGAAGAGAACAAGCTAAAAAAAAACCCTGATTTTGATTACAATCAAGGGCTATAATCCAGGTAGTTACGTCCGATATATCAAAATCGGATAAAAGCTTGACCTATAGAGGGTCCACGACCTTGATATTACATACTTTTACACTATTAGCATACGGGGAGCGGCCATTTTGTCGGTCAGTTTCGGTCCCATTGTCACGAAATTCGAACTCACCCGTCAATAGGGTGTAACAGTGTTATGTTTGAACGGGTTTTTAAATCGGATAAAAATTGTGACTTTTAGTGGGTCCACAAGCTAAAAACGCGATTTTTCGTACAAGCATGGTCCATAATCCATGAAGTTACGGTCCGACATGCGCGAATATTGAAAGGAACCGATATCTTTGGGATATAGACAAACTGGCATTACATAGTTTTGCTCCAGTTTTCACGAAATTCAAACACAACCGTCTTTTGGGTGATAATATTTGAACGGTTTTAAAGTTGGATAAAAATGGTGCCACCTAGAGTGTCCACAAGCTAAAAAGGTGATTTTTCGTACAATTAGGGGCCATAATCCGTGAAGTTACATTCCGATATGCGCGAATATCGAAAAGAACAGATATCTTTGGAATATACGAACAGATATCTTTGGAATATAAACATACATTTTATGTTTCATCAAAATCGAATAAAAATCGTGACCTCTAGAGTGTCCACAAGCTAAAACGTGATTTTCATCCCAATCAGAGGCCATAATCCATGAAGTTACGGACACATGCCAATATCGTAAGGAACCAAGATCTTTTGGGATATAAACCTATATTTCAAGTTTCGTCAAAATCGAATAAAAATTGTGACCAGTAGAATGTCCACAAACAAAATGTAAACGGACGCCCGGACGGACAGGGGCGACGACAATATACGTTCAAATGAACATGTGGGCGTGTAAAAACATATTCGCCCGATAAGTACAAATTTATCTTTTCTGTATTCTCGAATCAGTACTAGGTGATTGCTGTTTCTGGAACACCATATTATACCATTTACTAGTTAATGAACTTCACATTATTTGAAATGACTGGAGATTCCACATGCTTATGAATATAACAGCTAATTATTATGAAAAAAAACCTAAAATGGTACAGTCCAACAAACCACAATATCATGAAGTGTTATAATTCTGTTAAAGAGCGTATTCTATTATTGTTAACTCTGGCAGTGATTTAATAAAATACACCAAAGAAATAATAGTTTAAAAAAGCTTCCAGCTTTTTGCAAAAATGAGCATACCGGCTTTAATTCACTAACCGGTGATCCACTCTAATGAACAAATATTTAGCTCACGCCTCCCAGATGCTTCCTTCCATTTCACTCTTCTTGGTAGATAACCGTGAATGATATCTGTGGACAAACAAACTCCCGGGATTACGGTAAGGAGGGCTTTTATGAGAAATTTTACTGCAACCGTCGTAAGCAATAACACTCATTTAATTATTTCAATTTCGTAATAGAAGCCCCAAAGGCATTGTACTGCATGGTCGGCAATTACAGGAGTTGGTGATATTTTTAATAGATGTGGATTAATCATTTACAAGAAACGTGTTAAGAGAAATAAACTATAAAAATACTTATGAAAAACAGCTACTGATTTATTACGAGGCGTTTCGAAGAGTATTCTCTCAACGTTAAGAGAAGTATCGAGAAAAGCTTAGGTGTTTAATTACTGTAATATACTTCATCTGAGACACAAAACAACATTGGGCTATTCACGAATACCCGTATTATCAGAGGTATGTTCATATCCCTCCCCTATCCCCTTTTCACCCAAATAATATATATTCGTACTGATAAAAACTAGTTTAAAAGCTACCAGAAATGTTTGTAAACATTGAGGTAAACATCAAGCTACCAATTTCAACCTTAGTTTTCAGAAATAGGCTAACAATACCCTACGGAAAACAAAAACCAAACATAATCTCTGAAAAGAAAAATAAAGCCCTGTCACTACAAACATCGGGTAATTTACCACGAAACCTCCCCTTTCATTCCCCAGAACAAATAAAATTTGAAATTACGAAAGTAAACAAATCTAACAAACAATAACGCACGAACATAAGTGAAATGAACGAAACTAAGAATGCGAAACAACACATCCAGTAATATTGGCAGCTTCAATATATATGTATGTATATATATATATATATAGACATCCTTTATATAAGTTACTAATCACAACCTAGTTTATATATATATACAGTATTGGTTTAGTAGTAGTCATTGTCTAGAACGGGTCCTTTTTTCACCCTGAATATGCATTTCAAAATGCTGCCACCATTTCTCGCTTTTCAATAACGACCTCTTCACTTGTAAATCCAAAATAGTTTCGTAATTCGCCCGTTCTTGTGAAATTTCGAGGTAATGATGGTATGGCAATTTCGTCCAAACGACTGGATTGTTCCCGTTTTGACGTCCACTTATGCAATATGCAACAAACTTCAATAACCACACAAATGAATGTTTTCCATTTTACGTGGGTCAATGCCCATCACAGTGGCAATGTTTTTCATGAAATACTGATTGACTTCGTTCATACTCTCCCATCGCCATTTTGGACAGGAACAGTTACAATGAGGCCAAGGACAGTTGTCCAATAATTGATGTTTACATGTTGCTCGAGATGCTCGTCTATCTCTTTCACCACGGCGACCTGAAACAATAATACAATTATACAAATGCATGAACGACTGAAATACGAATCTAGAAGGAACGGAAGATTTTCTTGAAAGAATCCATAACGATAACAGCTAAATAGGCAATGGAGAAGGGCATATGCCATACAGTGTGCTATATGGGAAATTTTGCCTGGCAATGGTTCTTTTACGTGCAAGTCAAAGTGTATACAGGACCTCGATTTTTTGTCCCATCCGAACGACTAGGCGCTTTCCTTGTCAAGCCCCCCCCCCCCCTGCGGGCCTGTCCCCAAACCACGCTGGAAAATTTCTAGGCCTACACCGGGATCGAACCCAAGGCCGCTGGTTAGTGAGCAAGCGACTCCCATCACGCACATTATTTGTATTCACATGCAAGGAGGTATAAATAACAGATTACTGAATAGACCCCTCGATAGTATTAAAAACGGAAAACCTGAGGAATTCAATATGGAAACCATACATAACAGGAATCAATTGGTCCTGAAATGTGTGTTCAGAAATGAACGCGCTCATGTTGTGGCAATCCCCAAAGTAAATTTCACCTTTGATATCATGACCCCAAAGCGACAAAATCAGATTTATTCCGTTTCCACCAGTGACTAAGGAACTGAGTTTATGGGGTAATATTGTCAAAAGATTGTGGGGTAATATATAGTCAAGCGAATATACAGCTTACCACGGTTTTTCCGTCGTTTCCTATTTTTTCGCCTTCGTTTCTTTCCTTTATTCTTTTTTCTGTTTTTGTTTTTGTTTCTGGATTTAGGATCATCTGATAGAGGTGTCTCATTACCACTTACTGGTGAACCAGTTAAACTGAAACATGATCTATTAGTGCATTATATTTAATTTAAAATTTATACAAATAATTCGCTGGTATTAACTGCAAAGGTTTGGGAGACAACTGCGTTTTTGCTTTCGGATACTACACATACACACAATCGTTTTTATAACTACTCTATTTGGGCACTGTTGTTGGTTTACACATTGTTCGTATTCATTCGCGGCCGCCGCAGTTTGTCGAAAACATTGTCCTTATAAATCAGCAACAACGGCGATAGTTAACGGTTGATGCTTGAAAAGCAAAACATTAGACCTGTGCATTAGGTACCGCGGTGGTGGGTTCGAATTTCGTTGTGTTCCCGGACAGTAATATCTAGTCTTCCAGTCGGGACGAAAACCCATATTCTCGGTCCAAATATACAATACACGTAAATGATTGCTGGGGTTTGCCCAGACAAAATTATCTCCCTCGTATTTCACACGTAACCATAGAAATAAAAAGAACAGTTTATTATTCCTTAATTATTTCCAGGTGATCTAGGTAAGCGACACCATGACTCATTAAAAAAATATTGGAAACAGACAGAATCTTCTAAATCTTTAGAGATAAATGGATTGATACCTTCTGTTCAAAATGGAGCCCTTGTCACATCCAGTTTTTCCATAGTTTGTTTCTTCCCAACAATATAAAGATTTAGCCAGTGTCTCGCCTTGTATTGTCATAGTATGCCATTCACTGAAATTAACAATGATTAATGTCAGCATTTCTTGTCTCATATTTGTAATTTGACAAAACCGTTAATACAGGTAGATGTTTAAACCAATCGAATTCCACAGACATATAGTATATGAATGTTTTCATTTCATTTTCACTCAGCAATCTGAGTCAATTTCTTCGTCAGTGTATCATTTATGACCACACCAAGGAGAACGTATAATTGCGGATGGTGCTGAAAGCAGATTTTTTTTATTATTGTATTTTCACCCAAGACTGACGAAACAGATTTTGAAATCTATGTTGCAAAACGAAAATGGGACTGGTAGTCCTTCTTACCTTTTCATAAGAATATCATGAGACACGCAAGCTGATGCAAACACGGCTCTGAAAATAAATGTAGGCATATATTACTTAGCTGATCATATAACTTTTACATTCTAGTAATCAATATATTTGTTAGAGCACTCTATTTTGTAAATGTCATATCAAATCAACATGTATATGAGTTGGTTTTGTATGTTATTATTTTAGAGAATGTACAGGATTACCAGAAAATGAATTAAGTACCCAGGTGACTCACGATGCATTCTGCAAGCTCATCTTCACCTCTTCTCCTAGACGTAATAAATACTGCCACTGATCATTGCCTAGATCTGATCTACCAAAACCACTAAATACATTATCCACTTTAATCTGAGCTGCATCATAGAGATTCTGAATAATATACACTGGAGCTGCAACGATAAAAAGACATAGGGCATGTTTTAGAAAAGGTTACCCAGGCAGCAAAATGAAGGACGCAGATACTGAAGTTTATTATTGTGATTCAAAGAAATGTAGGTTGGAGTTTTGTTTTAGCGATACTTTCAGCATCTTAAGTATTACACGAAAGTGTTGACCGAGTCTTCGCAATACTGCCATTGTCATGACTTTCACAAAACCAGACATTATGATGCTTATACGTATATTTTGTATCTGAATTGATGTGGAACAAGTGAAGTAGAATGACGTTAACACTTACTTTTTATAGAAGGATAAATACGATGCCCAAAATAACATCTCCATATCTCTGTTGGATATTTATTAACACACGCAGGAGGTAGTCTCGGATCCCATACACTAAAAAATCAAAGTCAGAATTGTCATAAACTGAACACATAACTGTAACAGATTCTTGGAAATCTTCTCTAATGTATACTATTCAAAAAAAGTAGGGGATATTTGATTTTTAAGTGTTATTAAAGTCACCTAATGAAACTGACGAAGAAACAAATGACAAAATGAAATGAAGTTCACATTCATCGATTTATTCCAAATGATCGTTAGACTAAGTAAGGCACAGACTGACCAATTTAAGGGTAAAATGATACCCGGGGTCAAACAGCAAAGTTACCACAGCATCACAACCAAGTCAGTAACGGGTAAATCCTCCTCTGTTTGCCAAACAAGCATTGATCCGACGTGGCATACTCCTAATGAGACGTCTAAGGTCATTTTGGTCCAGATTGTCCCATTCCTGTTGCAACGCAGCAGCAAGTTCTTGGACATTGGCAGGACGTTGTTGACGTTGACGTAACCTCTGTCCAAGCATGTCCCAGACATGCTCGATGGGGGAGAGGTCGGGATTCAGTGCTGGCCAAGGTAATGTGGTGATGTTCTGTTGTTGGAGGTAACCTGTAACGATCCTGGCCCTGTGACATCTTGCGTTGTCATCCTGGAAGATGAAACGGCGGCCATGACGTCGTGCGAACGGCACAACGTGGACTGCCAAGATGTTGTCCCGGTAGTACTGGCCTGTAACACGCCCTGCAACAACATGTAAAGCCGTTCTTCCAGCAACAGTGATGCCTCCCCACACCATAACAGAACCACCCCCAAATCGATCATGTCTGATGACGTTAACGTCTTGGAAGCGCTCGTTTCGACGACGCCACACCCTCCTACGTCTGTCCAAAATATCAACAGTGAACCTTGACTCATCTGAAAACATCACATTGCTCCAGCGTCGATTATCCCAGTGTTGACGATCCCTACACCAACGACGTCTTGCCTGAATGTGATGATCTCTCAAACAAGGGATCACGCGAGGACGTCGGGCGCGAAGGTGACCCCTATGCAGTCGATTCCGAATCGTCTGGCCACTCACTCTCACACCAGTGTCTGTTTGAAGACGAGCGCTGATCTGATTTGCTGTGATGACACGATTTCTCAAGCCCAAGGTACGGATAAATCGATCCTGGGCTTGAGTTGTCGCCCTTGGTCGACCTGAGCGTGGTCTGTCCTGTACAGATTGTGTATCACGGTATCTGGACCATAGCCTGCTTATGACAGACTGAGAAACATTCATCGTCTGCGCCACAACCGCCTGTGTTGTGCCGATCTGTAGCATGCCAAGGGCACGTAACCTTTCATTTTGGGTAAGCCGACGCATATCAAGATTTGTTTTCTGGTCACTAAAACAATTAAACTGATGTTTCCACCCTGGAATTCAATGCCACAATGACTGTAACATTCAAAGTCAGAGTCGTGCAAATCTTGGGTTGGACCCCCATGATGATCCCAAGCATCACCTGCATTCCATGCGGTAGCTATTGGTGCGTTTGGGCGTCACATGTAACTGGAAATGTTTCTTCTGTTAGGTTCTATTGTGACTTTTTTCGTAGTCATTTGCATATTTTAGTATTATGCCCCCAAAATCAAATATCCCCTACTTTTTTTGAATAGTATATTAATATTCAGTTCTTTGGTTTGTGAATCATTTGACAATTATGTGCTCTTTCTAATTACATTTTACAAGTTATACCGAAACGACTGTGTGCATTTTGAAACTGAAACTGATACGGAAAGGTCAGGTGGATCACAGCGGAACTCGATCCGTTTCAGGTAATAAGCCGAACAAAGATTATGTTACTTACTCTACACCCTTGCTGATACCAACTGTAGGAGGACAGGTATAGGCATCTCTACAATGTCTAGGTTTAAACGGTTCATTATCCATAAACCATCCAGCATCAACAACACCACGCACTTCAACTCTAGAAGCACTTTGTTTAACCTGTTCAGCTACTCGGTCTAGATTAATTAACACACCTGTACCACCAGCACTAAAATACACATTATAGCATATAACTACTCAAAGGCTATGGATTTGAAGCCGTGAAGCGATGGGACTGAGGGTGGGGCTTTGTACACACAACAAATACGTCTACCGAAGCAGAGTTTTAGTAAACGGAAAGATCTTGCAATTTCCTTATAAGACACTTACGTTTTGGTGCAAAATATAAAATACAACAGAAATTTGTTATGTCAAGGGTCTAAAAAGCCTCCTTGCACTCCCCTGCCCACCAACAATTGGTTAAGATTGGGGAATCGATATTCCAGTATCCAAATGACCTTGAAGGTGGGTGGGCAGGAAACCATTTCTCATGAACCTGACAATGACTTATAATTTCATCATTTGACATCATCTACACACAAGAATGTCAGTTCGTGCTGTGCTGAACGTGCGAGTGTTACTGTAAATAGTCTATGTCGACTTTTAGTCATGAAATGGTAAATAACAATTTATCACAATGTGTGGTTAGAAAGATGATTCTGGTTCTAATAGCGAATTGTTTGATGTTTATTGCTAAGTGATCTGTAGAACCTGACCTGCTTCCTACTAATAACATTTTCTTGGCATTTCTTAAACCTTTCTTTAACAACTCTTTTATAACTTCTTCCAGTATTAATGAACCCATGAACGAAAATTCACCTGTAAAGACAATGGAATGTAACATTTAATATCAATTGGCTTGAACTGGGAGTATAAATGCTTTATTCTCCAGGGTCTGAATGAAGCTGTGTATGGAGGTCATTATCCACTTTTCAAGAGGCGTTGCCACATGATTTGTTATCTAGATAAACATTGCGCATATAGACCAACGTGTGGAATACACAAATACAAAATGTCAACATTTCTATTCTTCTTTACTGCACATTAAAGCCCATTTAGTGCTATTACTGCAATTTGGAATTCTTTGTTGAGGGTGGTCTTCGTGACGAAGCATCTATAAATCGTGCATTTTACTTTGACAGTTAAAGGTTCTCACGGCCTTCTATATCGAATCTTTCCATGTCAATATTTTGCATATGGAGGAAAATATGACTATAACAATTGACATATACGTACTTTTAGAGGATGAATTTCTGGTCCCACTCCAGGAATCGCTGGAACAGTATGGAACGATTCTAGAATATAAAAGTGTATGTTTAAATTCGGCGAGTTTTATTGCGCTGTGATCCAATATTTGGATAATCATGGCACAACAATAAACTTCCTTTGGTAGCAAAATATATAACCTGTTATAAAAAAAAAGACTACATTTTGAGAATTTATGTTTAGGAAACAGTTGTCCTTTCGAAAGGTGCATTAGCCTTTTCTTTTTAATCTCTTGGTGAAATGCTCAAAGGATAAATTCAGCTACTGGATAAAGAGTGCGAATTGTACAGAACATAATAGATTTTGTTCGTGGATTTTCCCCAAAACTAATGAGTAGCAGGAAGGTACTTACACCATGTTGGCGTGAAAATAGTAAGGATTATCTTCTGGATTCCATGACAGAATTCCACTTCCTGTAAACAAAAAAGTCCAGAATTCACAAAGCAGTAGCCCATATTAACTATTAAGTTTATTCTAATGGTTACAACCTGATCCGGGAACGGTGGCTAACGACTAGATCGACCAATCCCGGTTCGAAGCCCAAGCAAAGACTACGGGTTCCAAATTTGTAAAAGTCATTTGGATGGTACAAAAGATCGGGTAAATGACCCTTTACATAAAGAAATTCGAAAACGAGTAGGTCAATACGTATACAGTGTACTACAAATTTTAGGGGTCTTTAGCTGTGGGAGGAAACCGGAGGAGTCTGAGAAACCTATATTCCATGTCACATTCACGCTTGGGATCGAAACCACGCCACTTGACTGGATGCCATATTTTGTGATCTAAAGCGCACACATTAGACCAATCGACCACCCAAATGGCGACAAGAAGGGAACAAAACCTTAACCTCTTTACGGAGATGATCGATAAAGACTGTTGCGGTAGTTCATGGATGGAGCTTTTAGATACCAACATAGTTTAGCGGAGTAATACTCTCTTCGGTCGGATATAACAGAGCGATTCTTCAATTCTTTAATATACCGGAACATAAATATACTGATATCGTCTTACGGTACTGGCAGACCAGTTACTGTATTTAGTAAGGTATCCAAACAAGTGACTGCCTTCAATGTACAAAGGGGATCACGTGGCTAAGTGGGTAAGACGCTGGCTCGCTAGCCTGGAGGTCGGGTTTTCGATCCCTGCATTGGCCGAGAAAGTTCATCCAGATTTTCCGGCGTGGTTTCCCCTTGTCAGTGATGCAGGACGGAGGGCCTGACAAGAACAGCTGTCTAGTCGTTCGCATGGGACGAAAAACCGAGGTCCCGTATACATATTGGCGGGCACGTAAAAGATCCCTTGGCAGTTGGAATTCTATATAAGAGTAGGCCGTAGTGCCGCTGCCCGGGCAAAATTTCCCTCATAGCACACTGTATGGCGTATGCCCGTCTTTATTAGCCCAGTTTAGGACGTTAAACCCAATTTCATTTCATTTCAATGAACAAATTTTGTTATATTTAAGGAAAATCAGATAATAGGATAAAAGTAAATGTTGTAATTAAAACTGACATGTCGATAGATGAACAATGTATAAAGGATTAAACAATATAATAAATCAACAAAAACAATAGATGGGATTAATGTCGTTAACCAATAACGGCTTGAAAAGTGAAGACAGACTAACGAATTACTATAATCCTTGAGTGGCATTTAGCGATTGAACACATTAAAAACACAACACAGTTTATATGGAAATACAATCACTGGTTCATAAGTATAGCACGACGTTTCGACAAGTATTCTCTTATCGTTATCAAGCACAAATGATGTGGAAATACAATCACTGGTTTATAAGTATAGCACGACGTTTCGACAAGTATTCTCTTATCGTTATCAAGCACAAATCTGGTTTATAAGTATAGCACGACGTTTCGACAAGTATTCTCTTATCGTTATCAAGCACAAATTTGTGCTTGATAACGATAAGAGAATACTTGTCGAAACGTCGTGCTATACTTATAAACCAGTGATTGTATTTCCATATAAACTGTGTTGTGTTTTTAACGAATTACTAGCCAGTTGATCTTAAAGTGGTTAATTTAAGATACATTAATTATATTAGTGATTGGCAGATTATCACACCATTATAATAGTAACTGAGCCAATTTTATTTGTCAAATCGCCAATTAAATTCAGTTATATTAAGATTCCGTACATTGTTGTCGCGTGGCAGATCTGGCTTATCCTTTTTTTCCTTGACGCGTGAACATTTCACCAACATTCTTTGATTTATTTTTAAGTTTGTATAATATAACGCATCGGCGTTGATATTTTTTTTTCATCGAGACAAATGAATTCTGTCAAGTCAAGAAGAATGTCTTTAATGTTGTAAAGCTCAACCATATAAATGTCATTTTTTGTCAAACCAACCCTTATAACATTATAATTAGTTCACAAAGAATCCGGTTAATATGTATGTAGGTATATACGGTATCCAAAAAGAAACCGATCAAGATTAAAATAGATTGGTATTAATCGTTATAATTATAGAATCGTTTTTAGAAGTATAACGTGAAGTGGTAGACATCGTCCTCTAATTAAAAGAGTTGGTTTCATATTATGTCACTGAGGTTATAGATAATAATGGGGACGAGTTTCAACTTTTGAGTAAGAATTGTTCACAACAACGTAATTTGTGAATGGCTTAAGTATCTTTTAATTGCAATCTGATTAAAATACATAACTATATTTCGTTTTTTTTTATTCTTTCGATGGTCTCTTAGCTACATGAAGATCTGACCAGTTGTAGTGGGAGGTCGCGTCAGAGGTCATACGAGCGGCTTTTAACTCCATGACGTAAGACATTTGATTAACCAATCAGCGTTGATGTTTCTAGTGGGTTACCCACAGTTCTGTGCAACTCACGCCAACGACTCCATGTAACAGACCATTTCATTGACTAATCACTATATCATCCAGACCGCGGGTTATATAACAACTCTTCCAGATCCTAATGTAGTAAAGGCAAGTAAAACAAAGTGTTGAACTATAAAAATACGAAAAGATGACAGGTTCAGGTAGCTGACCGTTGTGTTTTAATGAATACATTCGAGCTAATGTTTTACGTTGTTGTGAAGGAGTTTACCATCAGCTAACACATTTTGGATTGTCTGTGCTGTTCTGTATTTTCATTGGGTAGTTGCTAAACTGACGGTCTATGAAAAATACAACCCCTTAATTATTATAAACGGTTAGATATAGCTAAAGCCCTTTCTGACAGGGAGCCACGGTGGCTATAGGCGTGTAAGACGTTGGCTCGCTAACCTGGAGGTCGGGTGTTTGATCCCTGCATTGGACCGAGCAATTCATAGTCGTTCGGATGGGACGATAAACCGAGGTCCCGTGTACACATTTACGTGCACGTAAAACATCCTTGGCAGTTGGAATTAGATATAAGAGTAGGCCGTAGTTCCGCTGTTCGGGAAAAATTCCCCTCATAACACACTGTATGGCGTATGCCCGTTTTCATTTGCCCGGTCAGGAGCAGAACAGTAGGACGTTAAATCCCATTTCATATCATATATTTAGATTTATATGACCACATGCCATAACAACAAGTTTTAAATGCTAATTTTAATCATAGTTCACGTCATTTTACCTTTCCGATGACGCGGCCATCCCCTGGAACTCATATAATCATGCATTATTCTTAACCTCTCTGAACAGCTGACCTGGTCAAAACAATACCATCCACCTGATAAAATAAACATAAATATATACATAGGTCAATTAGAAAGTTGTTTGGACTTTTAGCTATTATTTCTTATCTACATCAAAGGCGACCGACACAAATTTTGGCACGACTGATGTACTTGTTGTCTGGCAAGCGAAGACCGCCGATCTCCTTACCATATTGTGTTCAAAGTTGCCCAAGAGCTTGTTTATTAATCTATTAATCGTAACTAATTGAAACTGTGTGCTATGCCATTCATTTACGGAAAATCAAAGGCGGTGTGGTGTGTCTGTAAGGTGGGCTCTGTGAATAACGATGCGATTATACGGGCCTTCAGGTTAATAAGATGAAATCCAGTATGCGCGTTAGTGAAGAAATTTACCTTCTAAGAAAACTATCCACTTTGAGCTGCCATGTGATTTACGTATATAATAACTGTAAAGAAGAAAAAAAGGAAACTGATAAAAGATACAGGATAGGATTAAAATTCTTTCTTGTAACAAGTTTATAATTTTTCTATTGAACTTGGAACAAATTAATAATAACAAGTGTTAATCAAATCTTATAGTAAATCATAACTAAATCGTATTTAGTAACAACAAAAAAAAGAGCACTTAAGGAGTGTTTTATTTTTTTTTTTATTTTTATATCATCTATAATTCAAAACTCTCGGGGTGTCGATAGTCAACAATTTCTCAAGTTCACTTGCCGGGGTGTCGGATCAAAGGTAACAACTTCAAAGAATACGAAACGACATTCCGCTGTAATCTTCGCGTGTTAGACTCTTTATTTGGCACATTATCCTGACAAGAGTATGTTAAAAACACGTCAATTAGACAACATAAAATATTAACCGAAAGTTCGGCGCCAAACTCTTCATTAGATGTTTTGAAAGTGAGTGTATTTTATATGTCTTAATAAAACTATCTCCTTGCACCTCAATCTTCACCTTCCTCTATATGTTTTATCTTTATAAATATGTATCTAGATTAGTTTTTATCCCAAAATAAATTTTATTTTCAAAACAAATGTGAAACTATTTGACTTTTATTTATTCGAACGGGATTTTAATGTCAGAAAACTGTACATTTAAGAATATCAATGATATTTTAATCCTTTATTTGAATATATTTGTAGTTTCATTGTCGTCAGAAATATAATCACTCGATAAAAATATATAAAATTCAGCAATTTTGGTTAGGCACATAAGCAGGGCCGGTTTTCGCACATTTGACTACTTTTCCCAAATTGGACATCGCGCTAATACGGGGCCCAGCAGCTCACCAACTTAAAACATTTCCAGGCAATCTGACAACAGGGCTATCAGGTGTGGCTATTTTTAGGTATTAATCAATTACTGATTGTGAAGTAAAGCATAGTTGGCCTTAAATATGAACACATATAAGAACAGTTAAGAGTTATTCATATCTTGCAATGTATTCATATCCTGTAACTTCGGGCCTCCCAAACTGTGCATCGCATTTTCTACAACCGGTTCTGCACATAAGCTGACTGCAGATTGCCTTACCACGCCAATTGCAAGAGGGGCGTAATAACAACCATGGGCCACATACGCCTATCGACAGCTGCGATTTCATAATTTACTGGTGTTTTTTGTCGGATAAGTCAAATAATTTTGTTAATCATAAGGTGAAAACAAAATAATCAAGAGGCATAGACGTAAAATTTATTACCGGAAACCGTTTTCCTTTTTTGAAAAAATCTAATAATATTACCGGTATATGACTTCGTTACCAAAACCTATTTAAATTTCGTAATGGAGTCTTTGACCATTGGGATTTTTTATCAATGTGCATATTACTGTAGAAATTATACTTGAAAATCGGTAGGAATTGTCTTTTTAAATGTGAACGTGTCTAATCCCTATTTATGTATTTTTATACCAAAATATGTCATATATATTATAATTAACTCTCTATATATCACGATATTAAAGTCTTTATGCTAAATACTTTTCATGTGATGTCATTTTAATGTCAATAAATGCTTAAGGTTGTGTATAAATTCGTTTAAAATCAAAAATAGACTTAAAGCTGCAATTTCATATTTTTAAGTTATATTTTTAAAATTTATTAAAATAAAGCCTTAAAATAGATGGTATCTATAAACAGTCCTACCTTGTTAAAGAATAATTCTTTAATTCACTATTGCCAGTTGAGAAATTGGCAAAAATATCATTTTCATCTTCATAACCAACGTTTGAAGTTAACTACTCCATGGTGGAGAATAGAAAACAAGAGAGGTAATTGGGAAGTAAATGTGTTATTATTTCCGGTGTAAATGAGTTTTAAGTGTGAGAATGACACCTATGATCGTATAATAGTGAGTTGACAACCTATTGAGCAAAAGACATAGAAATAATTATGTTTTGACTTTCTTAGAAAATATGAAATTGTAACTTTAAGATTGCCCCGTGGGATGCCTACTTATTTAAAAGATGAAGATATAATTGAAATGCTAGTAATCCTGATAAACATCAATTGACTATATTGAATCAATGGGTAATAAATGATACATTATCATGATAAAATCTTGTTGTTTCGTGTGTATTTTTATAGATTGCAAATTTTGTGCACTTAGTTGGCAATGAATAAATTTGCGGGAGAGATGTGACCAAAGCTGTCTGTCAATGTCGAGGAATTTGGCCGTTTATACAAACGTCAATGTCACCGACAATAGACAACCGAACCATATTATGGAACGAAATATGCTTTTAATTAAATGAAGTATTAAATCCAATATAACATGCTTGTAAAATTTGATACGCCGACATTCAATATGCATGTGTAGGAGGGATGGCCTGGCAAGGGCAGGGACTAATCGTTTGGATGGGACGAAAACCCAAAGTTTATCTGTTGGCATGCACGTAAAATAACCATTGACAGTAGAAATTCGGAATAGGCTGTAGCGACGCTGCCAGGGCAAAATAGCACATTGTTCTTCATTAGCTCAGTCGGTGCAGAAAATTAGGACTTTAAACCTGATTTCATTTCATTTCAATTTGGAATTGCAATTTTGGACGCGTTTTGCTTAGCTATCTTTCCGTTATTATTTACATTATAGAATTCGCGGTAAAGTAATGGATGTTTTGATATTGTAAGCCCGTAGATTGTCATCTGCTAAATTATCAATCATGAATGGAATTACTATAAACATTATATTCCAGATAATTTACTATGCCTGATAAAATCTGTTGATGTCATACACCATTATTGCACTAAACTTTCACATTTCTAACAACAGATTATTGTTTAATCATTCTATATTTAACACGTTAATCGTTCATAATTTTTATTATCTGAATCAAATCTATTATAATCATACATCGGTACCTTTCATTCTAGAACAAGATATTGTGACATTTGGTGAACAACACAAGATAAAGCTTTGCTGTTTTTAATAGCTTAGTTTATATGACAAACTTACAAAATAACCAAAAAATTCGGATTAGAATGCCAATTAGAACTGCGGTGGGGCCCAAGGCAAAGGTTGAGTCTCGGGTACCCACCCACGATTCTTTTGGTGAAATCTCCCCTCGATTATGGCATTTAACAATCAAAAATATCATAAAATGTTTTGTTATCTAGTTTTTGCGCCACAATGGGATGAATGAAGTATTTTACATATTGGATTAACCTTTTTTATGGGCATTTTCGATCTTAATGATCAATCCTGACCACTTTTATTCCAACATTAATTATCAAGTATAATTATCTAATTAAATAAATTTCCAGCACTTTAATTTAGTGAAACCTCTAATCTGTATCGTTTATATTGCCACTTTTATTAGCCCATTAATGTATAAAATTAAAATTTAAAATTCAGTATACCCTCGTTATTTCTGATAACCTTCGCTCGCCAATAGATAGCAGTTAATTTCTTTCTAAGGGTTATCGCTTCGAGCTACGTATCGGTACCTTTTATGCTAACAACTTATTGACGAGTGTTCGTAAACAAATTACTACAAGTGCATGTTAGGTGTTCCTTTTCAAAGAGCTAAACGAATTAAGTGGCTTTTAATGTTCGACTTTTAAATAGATGGCGTTTACATAAGGGCTAATCACTGGCGATATTTCCGTATATTGATAACCTCACACTAAGCGCGCTCTTTTGAAGAATTGACCCAGGTGACAGATAGCTTATTTCTACTTGTCTATATATTTGTATAAATGAAGGATTAGATAAAAGTTTAATGTGAAGTAGATGTTTAAGGTAATTTAACATCTGGTATTAGGAAGAGATATTTTTAAAAAAAAAGGAAAATATTAATGATAAGCAGAATGCATGACCGCTGAAAGCTGCGGATAGCTATTTCCGGTTGATATAAAGCTTCATAAAGTTCAAATATTAAATAAATATCAAGCTATATGAACATGTATAAAGAGTTATGGTAGCTCATTATGAAAAAAATAAGTATAACCTGCTTCGGACATGCTACTTGTCGCTACTCGTAGTCATAATTGCTTTGGATTCCTTGATTTTTCCCAAGTTTCCATTTTATTCAATCTTTTCGATTATATGTTCACACCCCTTTAAATTGCGGTCAGAACACTGTTGTGTGCGATACACCTTCGGTGGTGTGGACATTAAATCTTACGATTCTAACAGAACCTAACAATTATCTTATGCAATTTTAGTCGCCCAATCTTTACAGTTTAGCGGGGTTGGATGGCCGAATGGTTAGCGCGCGATGTATCATAATATCTGTCAAGGAGTCAACTGACGTGGTTTCGAATCCCCGGTTGTTCGTGACAAGAAGTTGGGTCGCCTGTCCAACCTCGTGGGTTACAACGTATGTCTTAGAAAACACTTAGCCGTAAATGAAAATGTTTCTAATATCGATGCTGTGAATGTTTGAATCAACAACAGTATATATTATAATATGTTCGCTCGTCTTGTCGATTCTAATTTCTAAATATTAAAATTGGTCTGTATGATGATAAAAGAATATAGGTTTATGAAGAAACTTGGTAATATGTTAAACTTGTTTGATAATAGCGCCTCTGTCCGAACGGGATATTAACGGTGACGTTTGACGTTACCTTCATCTAAGGCAGGTGCAAGACAGACCGCCTTTGATCTTTACCATAACTCCACGCTTTGAACTTGCCGACAAATAAACCCCCCGATATCGAAGGTAAAGCAAAAGTGTTGATTTGTGCTATAAATATTATGTTCATATTCGACGGTTTAATTAACTAATTAAATATCTACACTAATTAAAGCTGCCGTTTGATGTTCTATTTTTTTTAGGAAACTGTCTTTTGTCTCTTGTCAATAAAATGACGATTAAAGGCAATGTGGAAATTTGTCTTAATATCTTCAGTATGGTAAATCACATTTCCGTTTATTTCTTTCAAGAAATTCACTTTCAAAGGCCACGGTGTATAAAAGAGACGACTGACCCTTGATATTGAAACAAACTCTTTATTGGAAAATATTGTTCCTTGGGGATTCCTTTGGTGCAACAAGCCACTGTTTTTTGATTCAACATTGTTGCTGTGTATCAAAGTCTTTTTGCTCGCATTTGTTAAAAGCTTTAACTACTTTCGAATACCAATAATCGCCCGGTATTATCTTTTTGATGCTTTCAAATATACCATGGAGACAGTTAGAGCTACACGATTGTCAGACGCACCATTTTTTTTTTAAAACATACGTTTTATCTATCTTTATCTAAGTTAAAAAGAAAATTAATCGACTACGTGCTTTTGTGTGGTGATGTATAATGCCAGAAGAATAAATGTTTGAAACTCAGAAACTGATACACCTTTCGTTTCAATAATTAACCCTAACTTTAATAACTCTTGATCGTGATGGCATACCGCGTGATAATACGCTTATTTGGTGTTGTAAAACTTCAAACGACCGTATGAAAATATCGACCTTCCGTAATTACCGTAGATTAAAAATAGAAGGGAAAAATACTTACCCAGCTGGGCTTCCGTCATTACATGTCGCCGAACTATGACGGAGGAGTTTTCGCCGTAACTTGGGAACTTCTGTAACTCCGCAACTGTGTGTGGTTAATGCTATATGTCGTAATAATAATTGTCCTTGGCTGCCCAATTGGTTTAATTTATCTGTATTTAATATAATGTCGTTTCTGCCACGAGTTATTTGCCCGGCAATAATCAGCACCATGTATAACCCAACTACAACACTTAAAACTTCCATCGTCTAGCTGAAATGAACACCAAAGCTTTTATGAATCTTTTTCATAAAACAAATAGGTATAAGTAACAAGATAAGTTTTCAATGCAGTCTATACGTAAATCCATTGGCGGAGTGATTTCTTTGATGGAATGTTTCCGTTGAAAACAGGTCGGCATCATTTTGGCCACAAAGATAGCTTAAAAGATAAAGCGGTAAAGATCAAAGAAACTATGGACCCAAATGGAAACCAAATCTCTGTGAATCTAAGAAAGAGTGAAAAACGGTGAGACTAATGGAAAACTTTACAGATTGGAAATTCGTGTTATGTCTAAGACGTCTTTTTGTACTTCATAGTGCCCTTTGATTGTCGATCCTGCTAAAAGGATCAATGATTCTAAGATATGATTTGGCAAAGACTTTATTTGATTACAAACACAAGAAAACCTGTCTTAATCAACCGCGTGCCTTATTGGCTACAATTAAAGGATTTATATATACATATACAACTACATATATCTATATACAAAACAAACACATCGTATTATATACATGAAGGGTCATGTTCTTTCAAACACCCCACGTGTTCTTTAACTCAAGGCTTTATTGTCATATGATTACATCATATTAACGGAAGCTACTTTTTAAAAAAATCTAAACATGTCTATCATTTTTTAGGATAAAAGCCAATAAAATTAAACGATATTTAAACGGGTGATTCGTAAACTAGAGATAAAAGTTAAACATCTTTAACCTTGTCTTTTTACGTAAGAAGTTATGAATGAAAGGGATGGGTAAATGTACCAGACACGGATATTTAACCGACCCCGTGTCCAGTTAATTACCTTGATATTAACGAGAGTTGTATGTTGAGAATATATTAAAAATAATAACTAAGATGAAGGATGGGAAGCAGTTGGGGTTTAAGCCCGCTCCAATTCTTAAAGCCCAAATATTTTTTGCTCTCCCGTACATAAAGTAGCTAAGTCTCTAACTCAATATCATCCAAAATCTTCAACATTGAAAACACAAATTATTTGTCAATTTAAATCAACATTGATCCTGTGATCTCACCGAGAAAAGATGGGCTTCTGATATCCAATATTTAAGACAAAATAACATTTTGCCATTGGTACACGAATCGTGTACCATAATGCGTTTCAGCCCCAGATCTAGCAAGAGACTCGAGGAACGAGGCTAGACATATTGCACCAAACCAAACGGCGTATGTAGACTGGAATAACCAGGCGCTAGAAATTTGCATTCGATTGAGACTGCGGGCTTATTTCGCGGAATATAACTGATTTGAAATCAGAGTAAAAACGGAAACCATTGAATGTATATCAGTTTATATACATTCATATTACAGTATTATATGAGTTGAGACCCACTTGTGTCAATTTCTAGGTCCCAAATGTTAGCGATTTAGCTCCTTTAATATACAGAAAGTAAAATGTTAAGCACCCCCTGTATTTTTTACGTTTACACAGTTTTGGGATTTTAATTATGATTCTGATAAGAATTCCAGGATGCCGTATTTAAGCCAGAAATAAATTCACAATAACTATGGAGGTGGAGAGTCAGTAACACAATTCAACATCGTCATTGATAATAACCCACCACGTGTCCCGATGACCGCTTTTCTCCAAAACGATGCTGTGGCGACCCTGCCTTGGCCTATAATGAGTCCTGACCTCAACCCGTTAGAGCATGCTTGGAAAATCTTGAGAAAGCACGAGATGCCAAGGTTTTTAATCTTAACCCCAATAAAATCAGTTAGCACATATTTAACATTTGTGGGATTAAACTCCGTGGCCGAAACGTCGGTCTGCCAATTTTGATTGGACTATGTATTACTATTATTAAAGTCATTTTATTGAGTTACATTGTAATAAGACTGTTTAAATTAAATTCACCCGAAGAACTGTAACTGCAATTCCTGTAGCAATGTTTAGTTGTATTAACCATTACTACACTTCGTACGGTAAAGCAATATTTCTAATTACTGTAGTTGTCTTCCCCATGGCCCGGTTTCTGGGTTGACGCGCAGGTAAGATAAAAAGAAAAAGAAACCACGTTTTCTACACATGCTGTTGCAAGTCCATACAATCACCCTTAGCTTCCAGCTCCTAATTTCTCTTATTGTCACTCGGATTCACATGAACTACAGACATCCGAAAAGCCCACGCATCAATGCCCGTTTAAACAAGCCAATAGTAAGGCTGGTGTTCCCCGCCGCAATCCCAAAATGAATAGATGACACATATTACTTAATTGCACATTTATGTTTTTGAAACGTATCGAGCAATCAAACTGATTATCTATACTTAGTCTAAGCAGAAATGTTCACGATCGAACGCAGTCAGGGCTTTGAAGTACCTTGTACTAAGTTTCATCACTCTTCATAAGTTAGAATCAAAGTTATCTTGTCTCAAAGCATCGATCAATGAAAGTGCTTAGCTCTAGTTAGCTTTAGAGGAAAATTTTAATCATTGAACTCGGCCAAGACATTCATCTAATGAACATCTACACAAAGTTTAAACATTCTACTGCAATTACTAGCAGAGTTATGCTCCAAAGTCTTGACCAATCATCATGGAACTTAGTCAAGGTATTGATATAATGAATCTATACTCCTAGTTTCATCATTCTCACCCAATTAGATCTAAAGGTATGTGTTCCAAAGTCTCAACCAATAAAATTGCCCGTTTCTGCTTAGCCTAAGTGGAAAGGCGCATGATCGAACACTGTCAAAACATTCACCTAATAAACACCTACACCTACCTTAATTAAAAGAAGAGTTACTGTTTTCCAAAGTCTCGACCTATCAAATTGCTTATCATTCTGCTTACCCTGATAAGAAAATGCTTATTATACACCCAAGTGTTAGTGTTATCACTCTCACTTAAATTAGAAATTAAATTAGAACCAAAGGTGAACATTCTAGCTCAATTAGAAGGAAAGTTATTGTGTCCCAAAAAGTGTGACGGACACACAGACAGACAGGCGGACAGACCCATTTTAACAGTTCCCTTTTTTTCTTGGAAAGAAATGGCGGGGAACAATAACACAAGGCAGTTGTATGGGCGATTAGTTGGTCTGGGAACCTATACTATATATAGACCAATGGAAACAATTGCCCATCACGTCTATCAGTTATGGCAATGGTTATTCGCTTTAGTACTCTTCGTAAGCTTCGAGAATATGATCATGAGATGCGACATTAAAGGTTACCGGAACTGTTTAAATTCCATTAATTCTAGCTTTGTACATGTGTTTCAGAAATTAAGATCACGTGATTTATGTGTTCATAGACCTATTGGAAAGATGCTATTCTCATGAACCCAAAATCTAATAATATTTCCATCTTTCGTACAGTTAAGTAATACCGACAACACACTGAATGAGCCTAGACGATTAAAAAACTCTAAAAGGGTTTGAAAACTTTTCTTCCAAATCGTTCATTCACACTATTACCAATTTGATCAATGCATTCAGAGTCACGAATATAGTGAAGAAAAGGTACACCCAGTCTTATTGGTAATACCATGATTGAAGTCGGATTTCACTTTATCAATAAATACAATCCCCACGAAATTTAAAAAAAGGAAAAAAAAGGATAGTACTTATTGACCTATCAAGACATAACGCATATATACTTTTATCTACGTTTTTGACATATCTTGTTTAAGTCTGTATGCCAATATTCGCTCCATTACATGGCATCAAAGAGAAGAACTGTTTTTATATTTAATGCTTTTTATAGCAGCATACCTTTATTCTATATACCTATCTTTAGCTTCTCACATCTACCTTTGATTAGTTATAATTATCAACATCCTACAGGTAACGTGCGAACAGAAATAAACATACTAATATTTTATGGAGATTAATAAACTCTGTAATGGCCTTATCTTTGCTTAATTTCAGCTATTTTATTGGTAGCATCACGAAGAATATCGTTTTGAACTCATCCTTCTAACTATATATATTCACAACTCCATAATTACATAATTAATTGCAACGATAAAGATGTTTTCACAGAAATGAATAGTTTTATGTAGCCTTTATACACCCTGCTGTCAATTTTAACGCAGTGTGTAGATTTCATGTCATTTTAATAGCGATAATAGACAAATAAAACCGTCAAGTTCATCTTTAAGCTTTTACATTAGTAGTATTTCAATCATCTAGATGTTCTCAAAGTCATACTTCATGTAATATTAGGGGAGGTGTTAGTATGTTACATTGCTTAAATTACGACACGGGTTGAACAAGAGGCCGTCAGTTTACTGTATGACTATATTAAGTTTTAAGTTTATGATAATTCTTCAAACATATTCATCCTGATTTTTGGCATTGGGTTTCGTGATTAAATTACAGTACCAAAAACTGGCATTCCACAAAAATGTGCGAAGTTTACGTTTCTAACCAGATCATTTTAATTAACATTTATTAGTTAGTTTTATAAGAATTGATAATGAAGTGCATGCTGTCAAATGCATCTATGTTAATTTCGAAGAATTAATATTAGACTGCCCTGTAAATCACACCCCGGCTAAATTTTAAGATGGGTTAAAGTATAAAATTAATATTATAGGCTACTCAAAGCACATTTGTGCCAGCGCCTGTTGTACCGGGTGCCATTTCTATGGGTTGGCCATGGAAATGTACCAGGCGTTTGTCGATGATGCCTTGTTGGGCTAAATAGGCGATTAAAGATAAATGATCTGATCTGATTTTTTCTACGGCTAAATTGCTGGCTAGTTCAAATGTTTTTCTGCCGACATACTGCCCCTGTCACAGAATACTCTTGTATGGGATTGTTTCACGAGTCCCAAGGGGATAACCTATGGAAATTCACAATCGTACAACGTTCTTGGCAGAGATATCGCCCCAACATTGAGCTTTTTGAGTTCAGACGTTCAGGGATTGTTTTGCTTGTCCTAGGGAGAAACCCTATCGAAATTTAGAAGCACACAAATATTTTTAACAGGTTAACTGGCCGTCAGCGAAACCTTGTAAACGCTC